CATCATAGCGAGCCGCCCACTTTTCCTTAATTCTACACTCTTCACCTTCACAACAACCTTCCTCTACGTACGACCATGAGTTCTTCTTCAAATGAAAGTCGTATTATCTTTGCAATTGAAGCTATTAAAAAGGACCTAAAACTATCCGTTCGAAAAGCAGCTTCTATCTATAAGGTCCTGAGAACTACACTTTGCGACTGACGCGCCGGACTTCTACTACGACGTGAAACTTGTATAAATTTAATAAAGATGACTTAGGTGGAAGAAACTGTGATTCTTGAACGAGTTATTAACTTGATTGATTGAGGATTTCTACTGCGACTTGACGACGTATGAGATATGGCTGATTGTCTCTTTGATGAACGTGATGCGACGCGTATTAGACTGCGATAGGTAGAGAACTTCATATGACGCTAACTACAACTAAAGATGCGTTTTCGACGTAGAATCAACTATTAGAGGGTATTAGCTGAAGATCCTGTAATTATGTAGGCCTAATTTACCCTTATATGAAACATAATTGCGAAGTATAGAATATATGATGATGATGTCTATAATTTTGATGAGATGGGCTTCTTGATGGGAATGCTGTTGCACGTAAAGGTTATTATAACCTCTGACTGCTGTGGAAGGCCTCGTATGAAGCAGCCTAGTAATTGCGAATGGATTTCTATCATTTAGGGCGTATATGCAGATAGCTGGGCGCTGCCTCTATACGTCATTGTTAAGGGCAAATATCACCTACTCTCATGGTATACTAATGGCTAATTCCTACCTGAATGGCGCGTCCACCTTAGTGAAAATGGATGGAATATAAATGAGATTGGCCTAGATTGGCTAAAACATTTTGAAAAGTGCATAAAGTCTCGCATGAAGGGTGTTAAACAGCTCCTAATCCTTGATGGCTACAATAGCTATAAATCCACTAAGTTTGACGATTACTGCAAGGAACACGGCATTATTGCTCTTTGCATGCCTCTGCATTCATCGTATGAGCTTCAGCCTCTTGATGTTAGCTGTTTTAGTCTGCTGAAGGCTTTATATAGTAAGGAAATCGAGAAGATGATGTAGATATAGATTACGCATATTACTAAGGATGATTTCTTTCCTGCCTTTAAGGCAGCCTTTTTTACTTCAATAAGCAAAGAAAACGTATAAGCTGGTTTTAGACAGGCTAGGCTAGCCTTATACTATTCGACCCAGAAGCAGTTCTTTCCCGCCTGGATTTCAAGCCAAAGACGCCAACACTATCCAACTCATGCCCAAGCAGCCAGGGCTCCTAGGACCTAAAGACACCAACTATAGCATATAATGCTATATGAAGCTCTGCTTCACTTAAGAAAAGAATCACTAGTTATTAAGATAGCTTACTAACTTATTTATACGAGGTTATTAATTTGTAAGCTAAAGGTATTAGTAAGTTAGCATATAAACTAGCTCTTGTTGAAGCTGAGTGCTATGGGCTTCATATAGCAAATAAGATACTAAGTAAGCGCTAGAGAGCTAAGAAAACCTAACTACGTCTTGGAGGGTTACTTAATATAGCTGAAGCTGAGGTAATATGGGTAGAAAAGGGAGTTGTTGATGCTGGAGGTGAAAACATACGTTAGGAGAGTGCTCGTATGGAGGGGGGTGAATTGCGTGGGCGGCGATGTGGTAACTGCGGAAAGACTGGATATAATGTGCGAATATGTCAGGTAATTTGGAAGACCTCTGAAGAAGAGGGTGATGAGTAGTTTCAATTGATTTCGTACGATGTGGCTTAATTGACTTACACAAATGGCTGGAGGGTAGTGAAAGGTGGGCGGCTCGCTATGATGGGCGGCTCGCTATGATGGGCGGCTCGCTATGATGGGCGGCTCGCTATGATGGGCGACTCGCTATGCATATACGTTAACTATAGTTATACTATTAATATTTAATAGATTATTCTTAAGGATTATATAAGAATAAGTATTTTAAATAATATTATTATTACTATTAATAAATCTAAATATAATAATTTAACTCTAACTATTTAATAGTTTTATTATTTTAATAGATAGTTATATCTATAAAGTACTACTTTTATAAAAATTAGCTTTACTCTATATAAATATTTTAGTTATAATAAAAATATTCTTATAAAATAGATTATTTAAATAATTAATTAGTATAATTATAACCTTTTTATTAAGTAAAAAGGCTTTTAAGATTTTAAAATATTTATAAAGATCTTAAATTCATATAGTTATTACTATTACTTTTCTAATATTATTTTTTATAGATCTTAATATATATTAGTTATTTTCTATAGCTTCTAGAAATTAATATATATTAATAAGTTAAAAAGATATATTATAATATAATACTAAAATAAATAAAGAATACCTAATTTCTTATATTAAAGCTAGACCTTTTAAACTTATAGAATAAGATCTTTATAGCTAAATTTAAAGAGTATTATATTTATTAAAGCATTTAGAGTTTAGAGATATAGCTATATAACTTTACTATATTTTTAAAACTAATTAGATATAATCTATAGCTATAATAAAAGCTTATATACTTTTAAGCTATTAGGAATATATATATTATATTTAGAAAAATAAAAAGAAGTTTAGAGACTTCTACGTTTTATATAGTATATAATATTATATAATTATTTATTTAAAATACTATGAATATAGCTAAAGCTAGCTTAAATATTAATATAATTAGTTAAAATATCTTATTTAAAAATAAATAGAAGAAATAAGTTATTATAGCTTAGAAGTTATAATTAAGCTTTACTAAGAAATAGCTAAAAGCTAAGGATAATATATTAATTATTAGTAAAGCTAGAAAATAACTAAAAAATTATAAATTAAAAGAAGTATTTACTTAGATTAATACTAATAATAAATAAATAAAAGATCTATTATTACTTATAAAATCTAAAGAGAAGCTAAATAATAAGCTACTTTAAAAGAAATAGTAAAATAGAAAAAGAGTACTAGCTTAATTAAAAATTAGTTAGGTTATTTATATAGCTAGAGTTAGATTTAGCTAATAATAACTTCTATTATATCTAATAAAAAGTTAATACTAATAAAAAAGCTAATTTATATTAATATTATTGTAATATTAAGAACTTTCTTAATATTATAAAATAGATCTCTTAATATATACTATTAATATATAATATTCTTTTATAATAATAATAATAATGTAAGAATAATAATAACGCTTAACTTACTTTAATATTCTATATAAAATAAACTAATAAAGTCTAAGGTATAAAACCTTATATAAAAATACTCTGTTTATTATAACCTATAACTATAATATTAATTATATAATGTATATAGGTATATAAGTATTTTCTATAATTAGTAGTTTAGTAAGTTACGTTTTAGGTTATTTTACCCTTTATTTTTCCCTATTAGAAAATACAACCTACTAACTATAATAATAAGAATTATTATAATATATTACTTCCCTTATTATTATCTATATGATTAAATGCTTATAAATACTTAAGACTATCACCTTTTATCGTAATATAAGTCTTTTGATAGCTTTGTACTATATAGGCGTATATACTACGCCCTTAAATATGCTTATACTTATGCTGATATATATTACTACTTCTAATATTTAATAAGATAATATAGAGAGATCTTTATTTTATAGTTGATAATCCTTAAATATTATTTAATAATAATAAGGATTTTATATTATTTTACTTTTCTACTTAATAAAGTTCTAGAGGAGTAAAATATACTATTTATATTATAGTTAGTTATTAAAATAAGAGCATTTATAATAAAACTAAAGTATAATATCTAAAAAGTATTCTCTTTATTACTAACTTTAGTTATTTTCTAGGTAAATAAAAAAGATATTAACATTAATAATATTATTAGTAGTAATATAAATATTAAGAGATTTAATAGTTTCTATAACTTAAGTTTATTTTACTAAATTATAGAGAGAAACTAAGAACAATATAATAAATTTAATAAATAAATAAAGTAATTAGATTAAAAAGAAAGTATTTTAAAGTCTCTAATAACTTCAATAACTTCTATATTAACTTCTATGGAAACTAGAAACTTAAATTTACTTCTATATACTATATTATTACTTACTTTAAAAGTATATAAAGTAAAAATTAAAGTCCCTAAATAGAGACGCTATACTTATAAATAATTAGTAACTATCTATATAATACTTATAGTTATTTAGAATAACTAAGTAGAATATATATTTTAATAATAATATAACTTTATTACGTTAAGTTATTCTAGAAAGCTATGATTTATTATAAAAAAGTAATATTATTAATTATAGGTAAAAGCGTAGTTATAGGTTAAAACGCTAAGTAAGTAAGGAACGCTACTTTTAAGTGCTGCGCGGCCCACCCTAGCCGAGGAGTATGGACATCTTTTGCGCAACATACTGCCTCGGCCGTTTCAGCAACCTGCCTCACCTGCAAATACGCTTTCCAACATCCCAAGCCCAGAAAATGCCCGTCACCGCTCGTCGACTGGGGTCTTCCACGTCCGTTGGGAAAGCTTCAAAGAGCCCCGGCCATGATTGTTCCCCGCTGACGTCAAGCGTCGTCTGTCAGGTCACTACGCAATGCTCGCCGGCTGCGAATGCTGTTTGCGAACGAGGGCACAAAGACAGAACGCAACGCGACCGATTGTTGCTCGAGACCATGACCACGGCCACGGACTGAGGCCGTTGGCCTGGTTTTAACATTTCGATTTTGGTTGACAGCTTGGCCGAGCGCCAGGCACAGGTATCACGATCGCGGTCACAGCAATAAGTCCACAACGCTGAATCTGAAAATGGTCGTATTCTCATTCGCTCATAAAATCAGCGGTCTCTACTCGACAGCATCTTTCGCCGACTATCTACTGAAGCATCTGAGAGAATTGCGGGGTTATCGAGAACGGGCAGTTGATGTTCTTGATCGTCTCATCGCACCAGTTCTTCTCCTGTGTGCCGAGACCAACCATCACCGCCTTGTCGGATGGCTTGGTCCCCTTCCTCAGGGTGCCCTCCATTGTAACTTCGAACTCGCCCCGGACAATTTTCAGGTCTCCCTTCAGCTCTGCCAGAACCTCGCCGCTGCCCTGGTTGCGCAGCTCGAAAATGCTAATGCCGTGGTCAATCTCGAGCGGGCTAGGGTTGTAGACCTTCATCGTGTTGGCGAATCCGCTGCCGCGAGGCGATGAGTTGACCTGGGCGATCTTGGGACCCTTCATACCCACGATGTGCACGTCCTTGGCGTACTTGACCTTTGCTGACAGACCAAGCGCCTTGATCGTGCAGTCACCGTTGTCGAGTCTCAGGATCAACTCATCGTCGCACATGATGGCCTTGACGAAGGCCATGAAAGCGTTGCGGTCGATGATCTTGATAGTCTGGTCTGTGACAACAACTAGCGTGCCGCTTGACTTGGTCTTGACCTCGGGCAGGTCCAGCTTGCCAAAGACGCCGCCGTTGTACATCATGTCGACGGTCATGGGCTGCATGGTGGCGCCCATCGGTCCAGTACCCGTAACCTTGCTCTCGATGGTCATGACGAAGGAACTGCAGAATTCATAATCAGCACGACCGCGACAAACGAATCTGACGCGAACTTCGCGATTGAAGGAAGATTTGGCTTACTCCTCCGTCGGCTGGGAGATCTTGATCAGCTCCACCTCCAGCTTGGAGCGGTTCAAGATAGCTTGGGTGATGGCATCCATGTTGATTGATTGGTCTGTTTGTTGGTATGTGGGCTCTTGAGAGTGATGACGACGGACTGATGTAATAGAGTATAAGTGCTTGCTGATTGTTGATTGAGATTGCTGCTAATTGCTTGGTTCCAGAACAAACAGACAGCTAGAGGAACACGAAGCTTATATACTATCATCCCAATTATGTGGCGGTCATTGTTCCAGCGACGCCAGAACACATGCAGCTTCAGCTGCCATGTGCCGGAAGCTGCCACAGCTTGCTTTGTGCCTCGGAACTTGCAGTCTTTCTCCAACAACCCACCTCCACAACGCGCTGGTTCGCATAGCTTTTCGCATAGCTACCCTGCCACCCAAGCAGAGACAGGCAGGGTCCCGGGAAGCAATATTATGGGACGAAGACAATCCAAAAAAATTCAATCCAACAAATATTGATGTGGCGGTAGCAGTAGGTAAACAAACGGGGACCGGTCGCTTATGCGGCGGGCCAGATCGATCGTCGACCGAGCACCTACCAGATCCTCCTCCGCCAAATCCCCAAACGGCAATTCCCTGTGCGTTGAAACACCATTACGGCAGAGAAGACCCGCCAAGCGACCAAGGGCAGGCAGGAGCCAGCTCACGCACCGCACCCGCAACCGCACCCGCACTCGCACAGCTGACTGTTCACCTACGACTCCATTAAACAAGCAGGCGACGAGCCCAACCTTGCCATGTCTCTGCTACGTTCGCTTGGACGTCCCGTTTCGGGAAGCATTGTCGCTTGTTGTTTACCCGCCCTTTCTTCCTCCTCTACAGCCTCGAACCCCGGACCCGCGCCTCGGCCGGCAGCAGTCTCAGCGGCAGACTTACAGCAGAAGCAGTGTCAGCGGCAGAGCAAAAGAGAGAGCGAAACCTCCTGAGGGGGGGGGCTGTGTACCGATACGATGGATATCTCCGGCCTGCAACTCAGCCGTCGGGGAGAATTGACCTGACTCAAGCAAAAGAATGTGGGTTAATCGGTGAGAGCTGGAAGTGAAGCATAATTTGGCCAACGTATTGGGCTATGCATGGTCCTTCGGTGACGCACCCCGCTGTGCGGGGAAGGCATGTCGAATGTCGGTACGCTTCGTTGGAAGATGTTGTGTGCATGTGCTTTTCTTCGTCGGTTCAAACTCTATGGGTGGATGGCCGTCGCGAGAGGAGGCGCGGGAGGATCATCGATTGGCGATGTCACGCAGTATCAACGCAGGTAAGGCAAGATTTCTGGTAGGGATGGCGGGGTTTCGCTATTCGAGGCGGGGAAAGATTGGGCGGTGGTTAACGGGTGTGTGTTGGCATTCAGCAAGACTGGATGGCTGCCATGCGGAGTAGAGTTGCGTAGATTCTCGTCATCTTTTGCTTTTGTTCCTTGGAAGGTGAACTTAGGGCCAAAAAGTCAATCTGGCTTGGATGGACGGGAAACGGCCATTGAAAGCCTGCAATGTCTTTTTGCACTACCTTGAGAAGAGATGGAAGATGGGGCCTACGAGTGGAATTCCAGAAGCAGGTCTCGATCGGGAGACGATCGGTACAGTCATTGGATCCAGTGCGGGCAGCTTGGTGCAGACAAAGGTTCATGGCGCCGATACTTCAGATTAAGCCCTGGGCCGTGTGTCGTAATACAGGGCAGTACTCGTAAGAATGTCGGTGACAGTGATTTCAACACAAGGAACGACGAAGACGACGAAACTACCTATAAATCAAGATTCTAATATCATTCTCATGAAATCAACAAGACAATTGGCCAGGCAGTGTTTCATCGCTCATCAATTCTCTCGAGAGCCATTCGACTATAGAATGAAAGACTAACAACAACCATACTTTTGTCACCGTCGCCAGCTTTCAGAATCCTCTCTCTCAACTCCGCAACCGCCCGTAACCGTGAACCCACCCCGTCATCAACATCATCAATCATTCACAACAAACACCTCACTGCGCCACGACCTCCGGGTCAACAACAACATCAACCGCCCGCCCACCTGCCCTACAACCGTCCCACCAACCTCGGCCCCTGACTCCGATCCGATGCTTGTCTAAGTAAGGTAAAGTTATGAGATGAGCCAGATAAAGAGACCTTTTCTTGTTTTTTGAAATGTGTGCGTGAACAACAGCAGGACAACAACGACACTCCACGAAGGGTAAATGGTATTTGGCGTATGTTTTTTTCTCTGTGCTTGTGTTTTTTGCATTGGTGCTTAGTGGCATGCGACTCGCACAAGCTTACACTCCGGTGGCATCGTCGAAGACGATAGCAGCCTTGATGGCGCTCTTGTTGCGGATAGACTCGAGAGCCTCGCCGAACTGCTCGAGCTTGAAGGTCTTGTTGACGATGCCCTTGGTGCGGACCTTGCCCGAGTCGAGGTAGTCGATGGTGGCGGCTGGGGTTTTGTTAGTAGAACTCTTAGAAAAGAGTGGGAGTACACTTACGGAACATGTAGGTTTCGGAGAAGGATCCGAGAATGGTGATCTCGTCGCCGAAGATCTTGGAAGGGGGCCAAGAGACACGGGCGGAGTCGGAGTAGACACTAAGCGTATGATCAGTAGTTGTAACGAGGGAACACAACCCAAGACACTCACCCGTAGACGACGAGCTTGCCGCCGCGACGGACGTAGTTAATAGCGTCCTCGAGAATCTTGACGGAACCAGTGGCCTCAACGACGACGTCGAAGCCGTACGGGTGGTCCTTCTTGAGCTGTGCGAACTGTGCCTCAGGCTCCTTGCGGGAGAGCTCAATGTAGTGGTCGGCGGCGTCGAGGCTCTTGGCGAGGTCCATCTTGAGACCCTGGGGAGCGGCGATGGTGACGTTGCAGCCACCGTTGTGGCGCATGAGCTGGGCAAGCATCTATCACGCACACACAAAATGTCAGGAACAAAAGCTCGGCCGGGTTGTCACGGAGCTCCGTCCGAGCGGACTTACAAGACCGGTGGGGCCGGCGCCGAACATCAGAACGCTGGATCCCAGGCGGGGGCGGATCTTGTCCAGGCCATGGCAGGCGCAGGAAGCGGGCTCGAGGAGGGTGGCATCGACATCGTTGAGGTTGTGAATCTTGAAGACCTTGCCGGCGGGGTATGCGCAGTATTCGGCGAAGCCACCGTTCATGGTGACACCGTGGGCCTCGAACTGGAGGGGTGGGAAGAATGTCAGTGTGCGGGCCGTGTAAGTGGGAAAGTGGGGCCGTACCTTTTCGCAGAGCAGCAGCTCTCCGCGGCGGCAGTAGAAGCATTCATTGCAGAGCTCGGAATTGTCGGCAGCGACGCGGTCGCCAACCTTGAAGTCCTTGACTTTCTGTTTGTGGCGTCTTAGTGTGAGTCTTTGAGGAATTATTCAATGATTTTGGCGAGGTACGTACGGGTCCAACAGCGGCGACAACACCGACGGTCTCGTGGCCAGGGATCAAGGGGAACTTGGCGATGAACTCGCCCTCATGAATGTGCTGCGACGCCTGTAAATATCGAGTCCTGAGGTTCGGCGAGAAAATCTTACCAAGTCTGTGGCCGACTGTTAGCCTCGCGGGTCCTCAATGGCGTCTGAAGATCATGCATTGGGGGTGAGGGACATGCGCAAGACCACTTACCAGTGCCACAAACACCGCAAGCCCGAACCTTGACCAGAACGTCATTCTCGCGGAGCTCTGGGAGAGGAACCTGGACAATTGACCAATCCTCAGGCTTCTCGTATCTGGGTGAGGGGTCAGCCGATCGCCGATGGAGGGGTAAAATGATGCTCAGTGATCCAAGCTGCAAGGGACGCGAGGGGTCGTCGAGAGCTCGAGAAACTGTTCATCGATCTGGGGAAGAAGCATACCGGAGAGCCTTCATCTGCTTGGGGAGGTTCGACATTGTGAAGGTTGTGTTGGGTTGTGATTGGGTTTCTGGAGAGATTAGCTGCTCGAAGTTGGATCAGTAGCCCATCGACGTGTAAGTACGAAGGGCTAGGGCTAGCTAGGGGGAGGAGAGCACCAACGTACAGAAAAAGCTCACGACAGAAGAGGAGGGGACCAGTGAATAGGAGCTTGAAAGTGAATTCTAAGTAATTGAGGAGGTGGCAGCAGCAGCTTATATAGCAGCGTCATCAACAAGCCCGCGTTCTGGGCAGCGCGGGGAATGGGCGCATCTTGGGATGGAGAGGGGGCAGGCAAGCCAGGGTCCATGGTCTGCGTGTCTGAGTTCAGGGTTCCGACATCTCGACGCTCCCTGGGATCGAGCCGGCGAGGCTCGCCAGTCTACACCGAGTGTACTTTTTGGAGTAAAAGGGCCAATATGCTGTGGTACCTACGCTTTGCGCCATGAGGTAGAAGTAGTGGGATGCCTTCTAGCTGCATCCCGCATCCACAATCCACATATCCACCTCCGCGTCTGCGCATGCATCGCCTTCGGCCCCTCGTCCAGCTCCACGTACCACCCGGCCACCTTATGATCATAGTACATACACGAAGCGGCATGCCATGCCCGTGGCGAGACCCGGTATGCTCTGGCCAATTCATTGAATCGGTGAGAGAAGAATTGCATGGGCGTCAGTGAATGAAGGAAGGTCACGGCAGAGTCCCATTGTAATGCCCGTCACCGTGCTATTCACCCCTGTTGCCCCGCCTTGGGAGCTCCCCGCCAGCACTAGCTGCGCACTCGGCGTCATCAAGCAGGGCTGCCACTGGCAACCAAAACTTGCTGGCCTTGAAAAATTGGGGAGGGGCAGGTTGCTTGACTGCGGAGGGCAGCTCAGTTGTAACGCCGTAGCGAGCGCAGGGAGAAGTGAACAGAAGTTTGGAACACATTGAGCTATGAAGTGAGGGGCAGAACGAGAATGGCTGGCGACGCGCCCAAACCCCACTCGACAGATGCCAGGCAGTCCGATGTCTGGCAGCAGCTCATCCCACCTCGATGGGGTCGACAATGTGCTCTCCAGCCAGTCAGACGATCGCAAGACGGACAAGATGCATCGGAAAGGGAAAGAGGGGGTGAACGGGGCCCTGGTCCTCTGGACTCAATTTTCAACTCCGAGAGAGTGAGCGAGAAAAACTGACACCACCATCAGCGAAAAAAAGACCACCTCCAAAGCTTCTTCTTTGGTATTCCATTGCGTTGCGACTGGCAAGCTCCACTTGGCCACCGCCCGCGGGGTGCTTATCTCGCACATCCGCCATCCTCCCCGAGAGACTGACCAGCAGAGGAGTGGCAGGCAGCTCGCCTCAACAAAACCACCCTCCCGTAAGCTTCAGGGAGTGTGAGAACGTGGTGACACTTCACGGCACATGACATTGAACTTACACACTAGCCCCCTGGCCTCGACCGCGTTGCCGCTTCCATGCCCGCGCCCGCGACAATCCCTCAGGCTGGCTCTGTCCACGCGCTACCCTGGTGTGGTGGCCCTCTTCCGGCCGTTCCCCGGTTTGCTGGCTCTCTCCGTGTCCGGCCCTTGGCGTGGAGACGCTCCCTCCACCTGGAGCTGGCTTACGTACCGGGTTGGCGTGAGCGGGTGGGATGGCACGGATACGGATGGCTTCTCGAGGCTCTGATATGATTTTCCATCGTTTTGTGCGACGCGGAATTTTGCGTTCGGTGGTTCAGTGGTTCATGAGCTTAAATCGGGCCATGGCAGTCATGCTGTGCCACAAAGTCCTATGGCCTGCAAATGATGTTGAATATTCATCTGATCGACTTGTCAATGAGTTCTAAAAAGATTCGTCGCTTACGGAGTATTCGGAGGGCGGTCAATTGTGTATTTGGAAGAAGGTGGTGTGGGATTGGAGATGGCCGTGGAAAGGACTCTGAGGTGACTTGCACGCAAAGTAAGGCGATATTTCCTGGATCAGCCAAAGCCACCCCCATCTTCATCCCTCCTTCTCATCCCGCGGCTCGGGGATATCGAGGCAACAGTGTCCGGAAACTGGTTAACATGCACGAAAGTCAAACAGCAGGAGGCAGGGGAGGTCAGGAAGGCGAGACAGACATGCTGCAACCCGACGTGAGGTTAGCAGTTGGCAGTTGGTAAACCAGTTAGTGCGTTGAGGAAGGCGTCCCCTCGTCCCTTCCAAGCCAATCTTTCGCATCTCACTCGCTGAGACAAGACAGCAAAATAAAGGTGTGCAGATGGTAATCGCTTCCCGAACTTACGCGGGGCACGAATGAGACTCTTGCAAGAGCATCGGAAGACCTGGCAGTCATGAGATTCGCGCAGCAGCAGCCCAGCTTCAGCAGCAGTCACCGCCACTTCGTCGAAGCATGCCCAACACTCCTCGGCATTCCTACTCGAGCACACCTGCTCTACCACACTTGCCGCTTCTGGGCAGGGCTGGCGACAGATTCACGGCGTCAAAGCAGGTTGGCTACCACACGGCTACATCGCGCATTGCTTCTTTACAGGGGCTGTCTCAAAAAGTGCAGTATACGATACGTTCATTCGTGAGGGCAGCTTGCTGAAGCTATTTCCTACGTGCGTCTGCGTCGGCGTCGGCGTTGGCGTCGATGCTTACCGCAGGAGAGCCGCTCTCAACATTCCCAAAGGCCAGACCGATCCCTTTCGTTTCCAGCCCGACTCCGAGAACACCGATAAAAAAAACCAGGAGTCCTCGTTTCTTTTTTCTTTTCCCATTCATTCCTCTTGACATGCATACCAGAGGTTTCAAACGTGACCTCTCGAGATTTCAGCACCACCCCCACGTGCTCGACCGGCAGACACCGCTGGCTCATCACAGCGTTTGCAAAGAAAAGAGACACAAATTGTGGGGTTTCACGGTTTGGAGGAAGCAGCACAAGCCGCAGGCTGCAATTCATGACCTTTTGATGCAAACGATTTCCGAGGATCTAACCTCCAAACTCCCACGATGTTTCCCCCGTAGTCTGTGACGTTGACAGACGCGCGACTGTTCCGGCCATCCACTTTTTAGAGTACATGTCGGTGCCTTTTTTTGTTTTGCCAATGCGTCTCGAGAGTAAAAGCCGATAGGAAAGAGACCTCTTACGAGGGGGGAGCGCCACGGCCACGGCCAAAGCCACCACGGCTACAAGTAGTCAGTTAGCAGACTGTCTTCGAGATTGGTAGGAATGCGCCGACAAAGTCCAGACGAGATCGAATCGCCAGCGCATAGGGGGAATGCTTACAACTGGGGCTCGAATCCACCAGGGGCACCACCCTCCTTGCCGCCCTCGCCAGCATCACGGCGGCGGTAGCCACCCTCACGGTCACCGCGCTCGCCACGGCCACGGCCGCCGAAGGGCCTTCTCTCGCGCTCGCCCTCGCCGAGCATGCCGCGGGGAGGAGCGTGGGAGCGCTGCTGCTTGATGTGGGTGGCAGGAACGATCTCAGCGGGGAGGTGAAGCCACTCGCGGAGGTAGTCGAGACCCTCGGGGGTCAGGGTGTAGTAGTAGTATTGCCAGGAGAACTGGGTCTTGACATAGCCGCGGGAGGTGAGGGACTGGCAAGCCTTGACGACGAAGAGGTTCTTGGTGTCGATATCGGGGTGCTTGGGGAGGTTGTAGTCCTTCTTCGCGACGAGGACACCCTCGCGGAAGAGGTACTGTTAAATTTCCATCGTCAGCATTCTCGTCGACGAGCTTACGGCGTGCAATTCTCCTCGCGCCGGCGAAATGGTAATTCTAACCTCGTGGATCTTCTTGCGGTCGGCCTTGGGAATCAACATCGTGGCGGTTGTCGGGTCGCTTGCTGGTCGATGTTGGGGAGGGTGAAGTCGTGGTGGCAGGAATATAGAACGTACAACAGCGACAGTCGCTCTTGAATTTTCGAAATCAAGCCCTCGTTTGTGTGGGCCCCACTTGTCTTTTCGGGCACACTGGTCGCAATTGCTGGATCGGGTGGGCCTTGTCACGTGCTGGGCGAGTCGCTCCAGTGGACGGTTAGGTGTTTGCCCACTGTACTTGGTGCTCTGAGGTCCCTCGATGGCCGGTGCTCCTCCCCCGCTGCCGAGAAATCTACTGTGGCTTGAGCGCTGAGCCACCTTTTTTCCTTTCTTTTTTTCCGTCTCTTCCCTCCGCGCCAAATCCCATACCCCCGGCCTTATCGCTGATAAGCGTAGCGTCACCAGGTGAACATCGCATTTCATCGCCTCGCGTGTTCGTCACATCGCAGCCCCATTACACCGACGACACCGGCAACCACGACGTCAACAACGACGTCAACAACAACAATATCGACAGCGACAACAACGTCAACGCTTCGAGATGGCCGTTAAGAACATCAACGTCTTCGTCAGCACGTTTGCTGGCCTAGGCCCGTCAACTTTGGTGCTTCCTGTGCCTTCTTCAACTACTCTATCGGATTTGCGCCAGCAACTGAATGAGCGCCTGCCCGCGACTGAAAACCGCCTGATCTTGACGACTGTATCAAACAAGGAGTTATCGCCGTCCTCCACAGCTCAAGTTGCCGACCTCCTCTCGTCTGAATCAGATGACTTCGTCTCCCTGCGCCTGTCGCTGCCGCTATGTGGTGGCAAGGGTGGTTTCGGATCCCAGCTGAGAGCTGCCGGAGGTCGCATGTCATCCAAGAAGAAGCGCAACCAGGGAGACGCCAACAACTCAAGCAGAAATTTGGATGGCCGACGTCTGCGCACCGTGACTGAAGCAAAGGCTCTGGCGGAATACCTCGCCATTAAGCCGGAGATGGAGAAGAAGGAAAAGGAGAAGCGCCGCGAAAGATGGGAGCAAATCGTCGAAATGTCAGAGAAGCGTGAGGATGAAATCAGGAACAGCGGCAAGGGTCGGCTGGACGGCAAGTGGGTCGAAGACAAAGAAGAGGCAAATGAGAGGACTCGTGAGGCCGTCCTCGCCGCGATGAAGGCTGGCAACTACAAGGACAATCTGCTCGGCACATCGCAAGTGTCTACCGGCTCTGAGGAGACGGACGAGGCCATGACGAGCGATGAAGAGGATGAAGAGGGCGGCAGCTCCAAGGAATCCACGCCTCCATCAGAACCTGCAAAGACCTCCAAGGATAAGCCCAGAACATTTTTCGGCTTTGACGAAAACGATGAGTTTATGAGCTCCGATGAGGATGAGCAAGATCCTAAGGGCAAGGGACAAGCCAAGTGAAACCAAGTGTTCTCTCATTTTCATTGAGAGTACATATTTGCAATGAGTTTGCGCCATCGGAGGCGAACGGAGTTCCGGGAGATCACTTACGGGAAGGCAGCGAGCTTGCGTTTTTGATAAAATGACAATAATGGACGGGCATTACAGACAGTCTGTCACGAATTCACATTCAGCGCCTGTGTGCGCTTTTAGCCTCGTCGCACGACACATCCTCCGATGCTCTATTTGATGTCTCAATCCATCTGGAAGTAATACAGTCGCCCGGCTCCTCCGTCTAACTTGCGTACAGCCTACTCCAATATCGCTTATGCGTTCAGGTTGACGGGGAAGTTGCCGGCCTCTGTTCTTTGTCAGCACGAGGTTCCTTGATATCGGGATTTGGTACTGACCGCGCTGCTCATCCCAGCGCTGGTACCAGCCGGAGGGGCAGAGGGAGCGGTAGCCGAGCCAGAACTACAAAACGTTAGTTGTCGATTCCTCCAGCAGCACTTCAAGATAGTCGGACCTGGCGGCAGGGGGCGAAGTCCTCGCCCTTGGCGTTGATGCACTTGTGGTAGTCGACGTAGTTCTGCCAGCAGTGCTTGGTCTGGTTCATGTTCGGGAAGCGGGCATCGGTGCCTATACAAGCTCAGGTTAGGCATTCGTCCATAGTGGCCGATGTCAATTGACGCGGTCGCATCGCGGGTATCGTGGGGTCGGTCGGAGGGCACATACCGGCTACAAGTTACGTTAGCCTCGGAAAAAGATCAGGCCATGCTGGGGGGGCGAGGGATATTTCACGACGTACCAGTGACGAACTTGAAGGGCTTGGTAACGAGTTCCTGATCGTCGGCCATTTTGACTACGTGGAGGTGCAATTGACTGGAAGTCGGTTCGGTGATGGAGCAGAGTGGGCAGCGACGTGCGATTGGTGTTGTTGCAGTGAGATCAATTGAAGGTCGTTTCTGCACCAAGAATCAGGTGGTGAGTGGTGACGGGCGAGAACGGGTGTGGATGCCTGACATACGCCAATCGGGCCTCAGGCATTGCAAAGGTGGGCCGAGCTCCCGCCTAACATCAGACCAGACTGATGGTAGCCGGCTCAACTTCCAAACACTCATTTCGAGATCCAATCCCGATCAGCGAACGACTGCTCCCTCAGCTGTACCGAAAACCCGAAAATCTCCCCTCAAAAAACACAAAAACCGTCAAAATGCGTCCTACTCTCGGTCTCCGTGCTTTCCGCCCTACCATGCGCATGAGGTCCCCGGTTCCTGTATGTTAAAAAACCCGCTGTCTCCAAACGGACCGCCGTAGCTAATTGTGACGTTTTCCCTCAGGCCGAGGACCAAGTTGGTATGTCCACCCCCGGCCCCAGCCATTGAAGCCTTCCACGATATCGGACATGAAAATCGACGACTGCGACCGCCCTTGCGACACCGAATGCGAGCGCTGACATGAATTGCCGTAGGCCACACCGTCTCCCAGAGACTGCGCAAGCTCCGCCAGATCCCCCCCGAGTTGATCCCCCTCGGTATGTCAGACCCCCAATATCAAGATGCCAGCCCGGACTATTGTTGACGTAACCAGGTGTCGTCGTTGGTTTCGCCCTGGCCGCTGCTACCTACTCCATCGGCCGCCACTTCATGACCGACAGCACCATCCGCATCAAGCGCCAGAACAAGGCCGCCGCCGATGCCGCCGAGGCCAGGGAGCACCACTAGATGGTGAACGGGATAATGAGGGGAGACGGTTGACCACAGTGTCGATGTGTGATTAGGGGGGAAACATTTGTATATGTCAACGACGACAGACAGATTCAAAGGCACTAGAGACGCTGTTTTCATTTTCCTTTCTCAAATGTGCTTCTCGTCCCAGTCTCGGGGAGAAGGCCAGGTCCATTTGTACATTCGCAACCGTGTGAACGCCATCGCTATGCCAAAGAGAAACAAAAAAGAGACCCAAGTCAAACTTCAAATCCCCCTTACTCCGGCCTCGGTCCCGCGACATCAAGCCCCTCCAGACCCTGCATGGGGTCATCCCCACGCACTTCGACCTGCGCCTGCTCTGCGGCGAGTCTGTCCTCTTCACTCACAGCATTCTCAGCCAACCATGATTCCTATGAGCGCAGTCAGTATCGATATGACTCAAGCGGGACCTGTGGTGACGTACTTGTTCCCAAAGCGCCTTCTTGCTACCGAGACCTTCATCGGCACTCTTTGGCACCTTTGCGGCTGAAACTTTGAGGACTCTCCCGAAAAATTCCGACTGGTCCATGTTGTCGATTGCTTCTTTTGCGTCCTCGGCGTCCTCGTACTCAACATAGGCGAATCCTCTATGAGGCTCTGTTGAGTTCGGCTTGTCGTTCTTGGGGAGCGATACGTCTGCGATCTCACCGAACGGTATGAACGCGTCGTGAACATTGGAGGCTGTGACTGCAGAAGCTAGGCCACCCACAAATACAGTGGCCTTCCAGCGCGAGGCGTCCGTCATCGTTGCTAATTATTTTCCGTGGTGTTTCGGTAAGTTGGCGCGGTCAAGATCAAATTATCGTGAATTTCAGAAGCGGCTAGCAGCCTCACTGAGAGCAATTCGTTTGGTTGGCGGGGTTTCAGTGCAATAGCTCCGGTTCACTCACCATTGGCTGAGCCGGACATGAGCTCTGCTGAATGCACGTGACGCAATTTTTCTAATGCCAGTGTAAGGCAGGCGACAGGTGCACGGTCCTGGGTGGACGTGGAGCCTACGTTTTGGGGGAGCTTGAACCTGGATGTGGGCTGCAATCTGGCATCATAACCCAAGGATAGAGGCCAGCGTGCTATTACTTGCAGTCCATAATCCACGGCAACAGCCACCTTTCTCGCAAGGCTAGGCTGCGTTTCTTCACCACGTCTGTATCTGGGCCACCCCCTCCAGATTTTTGTCTACTTGTATTCAGCCAATGCCACTTTGTAGTCGTGCCTGAGTTGCCTCGACTGGTAGACCCTTTTCTTTGCTACGATCCTCCCCTCCCTCCGAGTGCAGTCCTGGGGACTGAGTGATTCTCGCAACCATGGTTCGCCTTCGCGAGATCCCGAGGACCGCGGCCTTCGCCTGGTCCCCCGACCCATCCAAGCCTCTCTTGATCACCGGTACCAGAGCAGGAGCTGTCGATGCCGATTTCTCTGATGAGACCAAGCTCGAGCTGTGGGACCTCAACCTCGACAACCAAGAGCAGGGCCTTGAGCTGCAGCCGGTAGCCAGCATTAATACCGACTCGAGGTAGGCATCGCCGACGTCCAACCTAACCAAGTTCGTCACTCACGGGGCATCTCTAGATTCTACGATATCGCCTGGGGACCTCCCGACTCCGACCACCCGCGGGGTATTATCGCCGGCGCTCTGGAGAATGGCTCCCTCGACCTATGGGATGCCGAGAAGCTCATCGATGGCGACGACGATGCCCACATGTCCCGAACGACCAAGCACTCCGGTGCAATCAAGTCACTCCAGTTCAACCCCCATCGACCTCAAATTCTCGCAACCGCCGGCGCAAAGGGAGAGCTCTTCATCTGGGACGTCAACGATGTTTCCAACCCCTTCAGACTCGGCACCGCTGCCGCTCGCTCAGACGACCTGGAGTGCGTAGCATGGAACCGCAAGGTTGCGCATATTCTGGCTACTGGAGGATCCGGTGGATTTGTCACCGTCTGGGACTTGAAGACGAAGAAGGCCTCCCTGACGCTCAACAACAACAGGAAACCCGTCAGCGCGATCGCTTGGGACCCCAACAACTCGACCAAGCTTCTAACCTCCACATATGATGACACTGCCCCCCTCATCTTCCTGTGGGACCTCAGAAACTCCAATGCGCCAGAGCGTACGCTTCAGGGACACGAGCAGGGCGTTCTGTCTCTGTCTTGGTGCCAGCAGGACAGCGATCTGTTGATTTCTTGTGGCAAAGACAACAGGACCTTGGTCTGGAACCCCCAGACCGGTGACCGATATGGAGAGTTCCCCGAGGTTACAAACTGGACTTTCCTCACCCGCTTCAACCCCTCGAACCCCAACCTGTCTGCTACTGCAGGCTTCGATGGCAAGATCGCCATTCAGACCCTCCAGAACACCAACCCCTCAACCACCCAGGCTGCGACACAAAACAACCTGGACGGCGAGGACTTTTTCACAAGCGCGCAGACTCAGCCCCAGGAGGCTTCCTTCTCCTTGAGCAAGGCGCCCAAGTGGTTCGAGCGCCCGATTGGTGCCAACTTTGGCTTTGGCGGCAAGCTCATCATTTTCAAGCAAAACGCTGCCCAGCGAACCTCCAAGATCTTCATTTCGCAGTTTGCTGTGGACACTGCTGTGGGTACTGCAACTGAGAAGTTTGAGGAGGCCCTCCAGTCTGGTGACATTGTCAGCCTTTGCGAGTCTCGGAAAGAAGATGCCAAAAGCGATGAGGAAAAGGCCGATTGGCTTGTCATGGAGACTCTTACTGCCGAGAACCCCCGAAAGCGCATCATCGAATATCTTGGTTTCACCGAGGAGGAGATCACCAACGGAGTTTCCAAGGATGAGGAGGATAAGTCCGAAGAAGTCGCTGAGGAGAAGAAAGAGGCGAAGGACGACGACAACATGTGGGGCGATGGCGAGGGCGACGGCGAAGACTTCCTGTCCAACTTGTCGGCCAACAAGGGAGCTAAGACCGATAGCCCCTTCCACCTCCTCGCTGACACCGATACTGCGGTTGAGAAGTCCATCACTAAGGCTCTGATGCTCGGTAACTTCGCCAAGGCCACCGAAATCTCTCTGAAGGAGCAGCGCTGGGCTGATGCGTTTTTGATCGCTAATTGCGGCGGCCAGCCGTTGGTGGACAAGGTGCAATCTGCTTACTTGGCCAGCAAGGATGGCGTCCCTAGCTACGTCCGTCTGTTGGGGTCTGTCATCGCCAAGAACCTTTGGGATGTCGTGTACAACGCGGACCTTGAGAACTGGAAGGAGACAATGGCTATTCTGTGCACTTTCTCCGACCCCAAGGAGTTCCCTGATCTTTGCGACGCTCTGGGAGACCGCATTCTTGAAAGCGGTTCTCGCAAGGATGCCTCGTTCTGCTACCTCGTCGGTTCAAAGCTCGAGAAGGTCGTCTCGATCTGGATCAACGAGCTCGAGGAGGCTGAGCAAGCTGGTGTCCAGGAGCCTAGTGATGATTCAACCTTCTCTGTCCATGCTCGGTCTCTTCAGCACTTCATTGAGAAGGTCACCATCTTCCGCCAAGTCACCAAGTTCCAGGATACAGAAAAGAGTCAAAGCGCGGACTGGAAGCTGTCTGCCCTGTACGAGAAGTACACGGAGTATGCCGATATCATCGCCGCTCACGGCCAACTTGCTGTCGCGCAGAAGTACCTGGACCTGTTGCCTGATAACTACCCCGCGGCAGAGATCTCCAGAAACCGCCTGAGACTCGCGACTCAGAAGGGTGCTGCTACCCAAGCCGCCCCCAAGGCCGCTGCGGCTGCTGGCCGTCGTCTTGGACAGACTCCCGCAGTGAACAACGCGAGAGCCACCCCGGCCTATCAGCCTGTTGCTCCGGCTGGACCTACCTACGCTGGTTCTTCTGTGCCTGCTGCAGCGTCGAACGCTTATGCTCCCCCTGGACCCCCCTTGGTTGGTTCTTCTGTATCGGCTGCGGCGTCAAACCCATATGCCCCTACCCCGTCCATCAACTACAACCCGGCGCCTGGCGCAGGTTACAACCCGGCTCCCACTCAATCACCGTACGCGCCGGGACAAGGTTACCAGCCCCCGGCCGCTCAGCAATACGGAGCGCCGCCTACTGGTTACGGACCACCTCCTAGCAACTTCGGCTCCGTGCCCCCGCCTCCACGAAACTCAACGCCCACATCCAGTTTCCGCCCTAAGGAGAGCTGGAACGATGTGCCTCTAGTCACCAAGGTGCCTACCCGTAAGACCACGCCCAGCGTGGCACCCATCACGGCGCCTTTCCCGGGCCAGGCGACCCATGGCAGCGCTCCTCCTCAGAGCCCCTACGGCCGCACCGGCTCAACTCCTCCACCACCTCCTCCTAAGGGACCCGCCCCTCCTCGCGTTACGTCTCCTCTTGCCGGCCCTCCTCAGGCATTCCAGGCACCGCCTAGGCCGACATCAGCGGCGTCAAATGCATACGCACCACCCCCGCCCCAGGCTGGCGCACCGCCTTCCATGATGCCGCCGCCTGCTGCTCGTGGCCCGTCCCCGTACAACCCGCCCCCGTCTGGCGCCCCTCCATCTAACCGCTACGCCCCCGCGGCGTCGGCACAGCCTCAGATCAGTCAACCACCCATGGGATCAGCACCACCCCCGGGTAGCCAGCCGCCTCCTAGAAACCCGTACGCTCCGCCGCCCCAGGCGGGCACACCTCAGAACCAGTATGCGCCGTCGCCTTACGGGGCTCCTCCAGCTGGTGCTACTGCTCCTCCGCCCGCCGCATCCAGGCCTCCTACGGGACCTCCTCCCGCTGCTGGCGGACCTCCCCCTGCTGCCATCGCCACTCCTCCTCCCCCGAAGGCAGCTGCTCCCCCGCCGAAGCCGAGGCATCCCGCTGGTGATAGGTCTCACATCCCGGACCATGCCCAGCGTCTCGTAGACATCATGAACTCAGACATGCAGCGTGTGGCATCGCGGGCGCCTGCATCATTTGCCGCCCAGGTCAAGGATACCCAGAAGCGTCTCAACCTTCTGTTCGACCACCTTAACAACGAGGAGCTCGTCAAGCCCGACACTATCGACCAGCTTGCGGCTCTGGCCGAGGCTCTCAACGAGAAGAACTACGAGGTGGCCCACAAGATTCAAGTTGAGATTCAGAAGGAGAAGACTGACGAATGCGGCAACTGGATGGTAAGTACACCTCGGAAGATGTTGATGAGATCAAAAAGCTAACAGGAACGTCAGGTGGGTGTCAAGCGATTGATCAGCATGAGCAAGGCCACTCCATAAATGCCTTGATTGAAGTGCTGGTGGCGTCAGGAATGGGTAGTTGATGATAGCCAGTTGCAACTTTTACGTATACATTAGAATTAAAACGAATGAAGAAATTGTGTTGAAATGCCTGAATATGACGAGATCCTCGACGTTCTCATGTCATTTGTACTAAACCCGCAAAGGATTAAATTGGCAACAGTAAAGACGACGGAGACAGCGAAGATGACTACAAAGATAGCAGCTGTGACGATGATAGTAGGGCTGTAGAACATGTAGTTTCCAGAGCACGGTGATCTAAACATGAGATAATCAATTTTTTTTCTTCCTGTTCTAGAGCGATTGCTTTTCATATGGGTTCATATACTCTATTATGTACAATCGTCGTCGGTCAAAGGGGTTGCTGGTGAGTTGGCCCTGTCCCCGATAAGATAAAGCGCAGGTCATTGTGCCACCACCAAATTATCCATCCACGTCACACGTCACACCCTCACCCTTCCCACGTCCAAACACTCCAAACGACAGCAAAATGGCGGACACGACGCCTGAAGATGCGGCTGCAGCACGCGCGGCAGAACAAGCACGCCTCCGTAAGGCAAAGCGCGAAGCTAAGATTCGTGCTGGCGGCACAGCCAGATTGAACAAGATCACCGGTCTCGGTGGAGGCTTCCAGCGAGGTACGATTCGACCCTGTTTGAAGCAGTAGCTTGCAGAGCTCCCTGCCGTTCCCTTTTTTCCTGTGACTCCGTACTGAGATTGAAAGCAGATGATCCCGTCCCATCCCCAGATGCCTCCTCGGCGGCAGATTCTCCCGCTCCCTCCGCCTCGCCAGCTCCCTCTCTGCCCAAGCCAGCGACCGCCGATCACGCCGACCCCGAGGAAATCGACATCTCGCAACACTTCTACCAGCCTGCCACCACCCCGCGTCCTTCGGGACCTCCTATCGACCCCAATTCGATGAGCGAAGATCAGCTGCGACAGATGATGCTTGGCTTCGACCGTCCCGGCCCCGGAGCTGGAGGCCCCCCGCCCATGAACCCGTTCGCGGCCGCTGGTGGCATGCCCGGCGCCGAGGACGACCCCTTGATGAAGATGCTTTCACAGATGATGGCAGGCGCAGGCGGCGCTGGTGGAATCCCAGGTTTCCCGGGTGGTGCAGGAGCACAGGGTTTCCCGCCCGGATTCCCTGGTATGCCTGGCATGCCCGGCATGCAGACCCCTCAGCAGCAAGCGGACGCCAGCTCCGCGTACCTCTGGCGCATCCTGCATGCCGTCTTCGCCATCTCTCTCGGTCTCTACATTGCTCTCTCCACGACTTTCACCGGCGCCAAGGCTGAGCGCGAGCGCACTGCGCTGGCGTACAGCTACCCCGTCGGCAGCGACGAGGCGGTCACGGATGTGAATAGTATGGAAAAGGGTCGGGAGGTGTTCTTTTGGATGTTTGCTACGGCCGAGGCTATTCTTCTTACTACGAGATTCTTCATCGACAGGGGCCGCGCGCCGCCTAGTGGGATCGCCTGGACAATCGTCTCGTTCTTGCCGGGTAATATCAAGACGTACGCTGAGACGTTGCTGCGGTATGGTCAGATTTTTGTCACGGTCCGGAGCGATATCCTTGTCTGTATTTTTGTGCTCGGAATCTGCTCTTGGTTCCGTGGTTGAGGATGGCATCCATGGAGGGGTATTAACATCCATAGCTTAGCATGGTCAATGCTACATTTGAAGCCCGCAGTTTGAGTCACAGAAGGTCACAACAACCTATAGACGCGTGATGTCTAATTGTAGTGATTAACTTGCTCACATTACCAGTTGTCCAACAATAATGTACCGGGCAGCAAAGCCTCACGATCGGGGAGAGCAAAGTAGAAGCACCAAGCGAACAGATCAATGTATTATGCGTGAGTCTATAATGGCCGTACTGATATCATTGGATCGGCAGTCGCTTTTTGAACGACAGCTAAAGCAGTTTTCGAGTCCCCTTTGAACAATCAGAGATCAAACACTTCATACACTGCCTCCCTTTACCTTCGGGGTGAATTTGCCTCGTTTGGTTCCCGTGGACTTTGTCGTTGTTGTATCTTGAGCCACTGGGTCAGGGTTCTTCGTTCCGCATAACTGTACGTCGGTACGCGGGCAGAACCCGAACGTTTGTGACGAAGTTACAAAATCGCCAGACGGGTCCAATTGCTGTTTTGACTCCGTGGTCGGCCGGCTGCTGCTCATATCGCATTTGAAGTTGCCCTCACACACCGAGAACGCTGCACAGCTGTTGGTACAGACACTGACCCGGACTCGTCCGTCGCTGCAGCTCGTAGGGAACGTCTTGCATTGCCCGCCCGGGCATTGGCCTTGGACATTCGGATCGCAGACCTTCAACTCCACATTGTTACCTGTCCTAGGCTGGCCAGCCGGTAGGCCGTCGTAGGAAATAGGATCATAGTCGGTGGTGAAGGCTGTCGCCGACTCCGGCGAGGGTACGCGGACGGCAGAACGGCTGGGAGGGGCCTTGGGCGCGCCGTTGGCGGTCCTGGACGTATACCCCGTCGAGCCCTCCACGCAGAGGCTGGGGTCCTCGAAGGCGGCGCGCGCGACGTCGTGCCACAGAGCCGACATGTTGTACACGTTATCGAGGGTGAAGTACAACCTGCAGTCGGCCGCGGCGTAGCGGAACTGGAGAGGGGTGGAGACATCGTCCTCGCGCAGCTGGTCGCGGAGGTTGAAGCCGGCGTAGTTGATGTAGATGCCTGTCTCGTTTCTGTTGGCGGGCAGACGGTCATTTGCCGTCTCGTTCAGATTTCTAGCCCACGAGATGTCGATGTCTAGGTCGTCGCTATAGTACATGCGCATGCCGCGAGTTCCGCTGGCCGCTTGCATCGGGCCTGGCTTAGGCGCGCCGCCCACGACGACAGTCCGGGCGCCGCCCTGAGTTGTTGCGAGTTCGACGAAGATGGCACAGGCGGAGGAGCAGGTTCCGTCGGTGAGCTAGGGGGATGGGGTGTGAGATAAAAGACCATTGAGTAAGGGGCTGACATATTCGAACTTACGATAACCACATCTTCAGGGGCCCACACAGCTTCTTTCCTTTCCGCATCGTCCTCGTCCAAGTAGCGATTCAGAATCCATCCGTCAAATGCAGCAGCGTGGAAGTTCGGGTTCTTGAGGTCATATTCTTCCTGCGATGAACGGTTAGTGCAGTCCACGTGCGAAGCGCCACGCCAGTCGACGACTTACCACGAGAGAGAACTTCTCATCCTTCTCCTGTCTGGGACCTTGATACTCCTCCCAAGAGGTGAAGTTGACTCCCGTGTCGGCGTTGACTTTTGTTGTGATTACCCACTCATCCGCCATGAGAGCCAGGGCATCATCCCTATGCGTCTCGTTACCAACCGCCCACCTCTCGTAGATGCTTGTCGTGGACGAGCCCAGAACGTTGCCCAGCTCGTGGCTACGCCGCTGACTTCCCGTGAACGGGTCGATTCCTGGGAAGAGTTCCCGGAAGAGTAGCAATGCGATGCCGGTAGAGCCGCCATAGTTCTTCTGCACGTCGACAATGATGTGTGAGAGTCCTCTTGCCTTAGCACCGTCCATGAAGTCCGCGAGCGACTGGCTGAAATTGCCAAAGTCCCAGTCGTACTGTTCGAAATGGGGGATGCTGATCACTCCGGTCGATATATCATCGTAGAAGTACCCAGTGATAATGCCGCCACCGTAGAGACCCAGGTCGAATTGGACGATGTCTGGGTCTTTCGGGAAGGCACCGTAACTTGCCTGGTTCCAGTTATCGGTCGTCCCGGTCTCTCCGGTTCCGTTGGCGACATCTGATACTTCTTCCACAGACGCATTTCCAGAGGGCTGTCCTCCAAAAACTACTGGGAGTGGGACCTCCTCGTAGGATGCAGGCAGTAATCCCAGGACGAAGAAGTTGTAAAAGTCGCCCCCTGTCGTTAGGGGACCGGTAAACTCGGGGTTATTATAGATGGCGGTCCAGGAAGTCTCCCAAACTGTCTGATCTTCACACGAGAAGTTCAAAGTCTTGCCGGGGTAAAAGGTGCTTTCACCGGCGAAGATGCTGTAGACCCCATGGATGTCCTGGACCGGGCTGTCCATGAGTTCGTTCCAATCGGCATGGGGTTCAAGCATGCCCACGGACTGTAGAGCCGCAAAATCGGTCAGAAAATCCATTGCTCGTCGGCCGTTGATGTGGGACACAGCGGAGATGTAGGGTTCAATGCCTTTGGTGATGTTATTCCTGCGATTAATAACGTCGCCTGTTTTATCAAGGTTAGCCATCAGAAGCTTGTCAAACCAGGCTGGAACTGGTTATCCGTACTTGCAAAGTAGACCTTTGGGATCTCCTTCCCGTCGATGGATGCCGTGACGAGAGGCCACGGGCTGGCGAAGGAGAAGGCGGAAAGCACGCCCGCGAACAGATCGACGTGGGCATCATGGACCGAATAGACGAGGTACTGTAAGGTAGCCTCGAAATCGTACTGATTCTTAAAGACGCCCGCCGTAACATTCTTCTTCAGATCTTCCAATCCCTGCATAAGGTCAAACGCAGGCTGTTGATAGCCTTCCGGCGGATCTTTGAGGTACGCCAGGGTGCTCTGGAACTGCATCGTGGTGTTGTAGTAGTCGATGAAGCGAAGAGCCATTGCCTCGTGGAACGGGACACTGGTCAGGCACTCGTACGCGTCGGCGGCGTAGAAGTAGCGTTGTCCTATCTATATCAGCATAGTCCATGCCTACGCTGCAACTCTCTACTCGTCTCACCTTTATTGACAGCACCGATGATGCGTCCGCACATGGGCGTCTGCTCAGGCCCATCTTGGCGGCGTGGAAGTTCTCTCGGTCGAGCCGACGGACGTGCAATGGCAAGACCGCAGCAAAGGCTCAGCAGCACGGTGAAGTGTCCCAGCAACATCGTGGTCGTTGAATGGAGCGCGTTGAGGATGAACCTTGGCAAGAGAGCATCATTCAAGAGCCTCTCATACGACGTGGAGGGAGTGACAGCTTTTTCACCAGTGGCCGGCACGCTGTCTCTTCCTCATCAGAAGACAAGCAAGCCATGGATCATGCTGACGCTGCGGCTGATGTGCCTTTCCAGGCCCGTTAGCCCCTGTCGAGCCCACCCTGGCTGTGTTGTCATGATCAGGGTGTCGATTTTGTGACCAGGCACCAGCTTCAATACCGATTCGACTTAAGAGGCAGGCTGGGCCATGGTGTCTAGGCCGTTAATTTCACAACCCTGTTTGTGGCTGCGTCTGGCTGCATCTCATTGCATCACCACAAGAAAGCTTAGCTGACCACGTGAATACCCCGGTATGCTCCTGAAGAAGGTCTGCCAACCAGCTTCTCAACCCATTCAACCAGACACATATGTTTGGAGTTTGAAGATATCGCCAACATGGCAGCGCCAGTGGCATGAAACGGCTCTGTCTCCCCGCGATTGCCGCAGACCATGTGATAGGTTGAGCATCCCGTGCCTCCAACTTCTATGAAGTGCTGAAAAAATCATGGTTTGAGGCGGCTAAAGAAGTAAGATTCTGGCTTCGACGGACTTCTTGGCACCGCTAGGAAGATCTGCGGCTGAGGCGACCTGCACGAAGCCTGGAAAATTCTGGATCAAAATGCCAAAACAGCCCGACTATAGTCTTACGCTCCCGCCATTCTGGCTGAGCTGGTTTTTCGTAGGCTCGGTTAGCCTGCAAAATAACTCAAAAATACCGCGCTACCAGCACCGATCTGGTTGCCTGGTGTTTTCTCCACAATGCTGCAGGCCATTCGAACATGAAGACGAAAAGAATGAGGTGCGAGAGAGAGCCAAGAATGAGACATGCAGGGGTTGAAGCCATCGAACCTCTCGCGAGCAATAGAGATTCGTGAGACTAACGGATTTGGTGTTTACGAGATGCGCAGCCCCTGGTATGTGCATGCATGAAGGATTGAAATCTGACCACCCTCCCGATAGGCAACAACTATCCGTACAAGGGATATTCGTACCTCCACAATCCGTAGCCTTACGCACGGAATGCTCCGCAATCAGCAACCGCGTGCCTACTGTCATGGAGAAAGAGTGCGATTCGTCGGAAGTTGTACCCGGGCGGTTCTTGATTCTGGTGGCTTTCGCTCTCATTCCTAAGCAAGAGTTTAATCCAACTTGCAACATTCGAGAAGCCTGATTCGAATACGTATACCCAACTAAGAGTACGGAACAATAGCAGACCCTCGACCTTCAAAAAAGCCGGGAATCATCGTTCGCAAAATATTTACTCAGAAATGGACAATCTGGGCGAAGAGACACCTACGAGGCGGAATCCGTTCAGTGAGCGCAAAGTTCTGCATCCTGCGTTGAGCGAACGTCCAAAGCTCGGGCCGGATACATGGAAACCGCTGTGGAACGGGTTACTTGAGAGCGATGTCTTCGGGAGCTGGCAGAACCCAGAGTATCAGTGGATGCTGCGTTGCGTAGGAGGACCAGGCTCAGGCAAGGTGAGCATGTTGGGACGGGCATTGGTGTTGTAGTTGAAGTTTCGCATTACGCATGGGCGACACGGATCTTTCTATCACCTCGTGACTGGCTTTATGACTTGTGGGCCAGATGTCGCCAATTTTAAGATCTGCCCGCTGACCATTTGCATTGTCTCTCAGACGAATTTGTCCGCCGTCGTAACGAAGAGGTTGGAGGATAGTTACAACGAGGACACGGAAGCCGTGGCCTCCATCTTCATCGGGGCGGACGTGACATCGAGCGGCACCGCCTTCGTCGAGGACGTCCTCACCAGCGTGTTCCTCCAGCTGTCCGCCAAGTACGCCGACGTCGACGGCGACATGGCGAATGCGAAGTATCAGCTGTACATGGAGGCCTGGAAACACGGCCACCGCGACCGCCACCGCATCCGTCTGGTGCGGGAGGCGCTGTGCCTGCGTCTCGACATGCTCGAGAACAAGTTCCTCATCATCGACGACTTCGACAGATGCTACCCCGCCGTTGACCTCTTCCTCGAGGACGAGCTGTCCCACTTGGCGACCAAGGGGCTCAGGGTGTTCCTCACCTCGCGCATCTCATGCCTCGAGGAATTCCCGCTGTCAGCAACGTGCGACTGTTGCCAGAAGGAGAGCTTGAAACTCTTTTGGGGATGCGAGAGCTGTGACGGGAAGGGGGTGCAGCACGAGAATACATATACTCTCTGCGAAGATTGCGTGTACAATGAAGAGGCTTGTGAGAAATGGTATGTAAGTTGCAGCGTCAACCTGGTCCTTTCGTCCTTGAACTGTGTCTTTGGATTTTTGGACGATCAAATACACGCACATCTGTTCCTTCACGTCACCGCTGAAGCAAAGCTAACGCTGGCTGCTGTTCTGAAGCGGCGATTCCGACAACTTCGTCCAGCCTTATGGCCACATTGATCTGAACCTCAACGACAACGGCCGGGTCGAGCAGTTCATCAACCACGATCTCGAAACCGAACACGGAGACCTAGGATTGGGAAGCTTAACCCCAGATAAGCTCCCTCCGCATTCCCGGCTGGGCCGACAGCTTGCGGCCACGGAAAATGGCAAAGCTCTCTCCGAACTACAAGGCAAACTCGTGAAACAGGCCGAAGGCAATGTCAGCCTCGCGCGTCTCCGCCTTGACAATGAACACCAGGCGCAGTCAGCGGAGAGCATATTCTCGCCGTTGGCAGACGTCCTGCCGGTCAACATCGTGGGCTTCTTCCGCGCCGGGATGAGGCGCGTCGAGGAGCAGCCGCCGGAGAGGCGGGACCTGGGATTCAAGGTGATCGCGGCGGTGACGCACTACAACTATGGCCTGGGCATACCGTATGAGGCCCTCGACAGGCTCCTTCGCAACCCGACGAAGACGCTCACGAGGCAGCAACCCCTCAGAACACAGTCAGCGCCGGTCGTGTCCGGCGTGAAGAGGAAAGCGGGGCCGGATCCGGCGCCGACTCACGTGCCGCACCGTAGTCTCGAGGAGATGCTTCATGCGGCCTGCGGTTTCGTGGTGATGGTGCCCCTAGGCAACCGGCCACTCAGGGCCTACTCCGAAGCGTTCCACGAGTACGCGCGGCACTACCACGAGGATCTGAGGTGGGCGCACGCACAGCTCGACTTTGATAGTGTCAGGGTCGATGAGCAGGGCAACGTGGCCGAGCAAGGTAACTTGGTAGAGTTCGGCGTCGAAGGGATGAAACGCCGCGGGACCTTTCAACTCGCAAAGAGTGGACGAGAAGGTCAAAAGTCTGATCAGAACATGAAGCCGTTCATCCCGCAAAAGAGCGACGGAGGTTTCAGGTCTTCTGCTTTGAAGAGGCAGGAGTTCAAGAGGCTACGTGGTGCCGAGTTCAAACTTCCTGTCATATCTGATGCGTTCAGATTTGATTCCGCCGGGCCTGTCATTATGCCTACAGATGCAGTGGCAGACGCGGCGAATGTGACGGCCCCCAAGAAGAAGAAGCTCTCGAGAGCATCTACTCAGGCATTCGTCTGAAATGAGAATGACGAGTGTGTATGTAATCACCAGAGATATCAGAATATTAGATAATTCTTGTCGTTGTTCCTTCATCAAAAAGCTTGTCTGCTTAACCATGTCAATATCAATAGCACACAATTCACATAAGTGTCGATACGTACATTATGTACGAAATCAGTCTTTTCCATAATTGATGACCTTCTTGTAAAACTCGAAGTCTCGGTTTTCTGTGTTTTCCACATGTAGCCACCCTGGGAATAGTTCAGTCAGAACATCATGTGACGGTGGAGGTCTCTAGAGGAAGCGGTCGATCTTTTTTAGGCAGCTTGATTGCGGCTGTGGTCAGCCCGCAGACGCACACATATCCTAGCCCGTTATTTTAAAACGTTCCCAGCCCCCGCTTGGCCAGGGTTTGGGTTGGCTATGCTGACATCTTCGCAGACAACAGAGTGCGTCTCGGACTAGTCTCCTCACCAATCAGCAACTTCACCACATACGTCGGCGCAGTCCTTACAGGAATTGATAGCGACCCGTCATGGGAATCTGCGACTTTTGCCAACGGAACGTCCTGGAGTCGGAGAAACTCTGGGGTTATCACCACTCCGACTTTGTCGACTTCAAGGACGCGGCAGAATCAGGATGCGTCTTCTGCGAGAGACTGGCTCACGCCACGCAAGACTTGAAGTCATGGTTCGATAACGCGAACGGGACGCCGGCGCTGTATAGATGGAATATGCGCGAGGCTGCTCGGATGAGGGACACGAGCAGCTTCTTTTCAATCACCTTCCGTCCGGTCCCAGGCCGCAGGAAAGGAGAGGCCAAGAGCGAGGACCTCCCGGAGCTTCGCTTCGATCTGTTCCCAGAAGAAGGCATGTCGCGACCTTGTTGGCGAAGCTTCCCTACCCAAATGCTGAACGCACGTCACAGATCTGGGCTTCATCCCCAACGAGAACAGCCTGGGCGCGGGAACAGACTCCGAAGAATCGGTGACGCAAATGGCCGAGTGGGTGAGTAGATGCGCTAATGAACACCCGAACTGCAAACGCCGCCACGGCAGTCTTGATTTCATCCCGACACGCGTCCTCGACGTCGGCACGGAGAAGTCCTGGCCGCCGAAATACATTAAGCTTGTCGATACCAAGGAAATGGGCGTCAAGGGGCCATATATGACGCTGAGCCACTGCTGGGGAAAGGGCAAGTTCGTGCAGCTCACCGAGAAGGACATGGAGGAGTTCACCACGACGGGCATCCCGTGGGAAACGGCACCCCATGGGCAGGACATCTGCAGCAATGTCAACTTCGCGCAGGCGCTCAAGATTACATGGCTACTGAAACAGCGGTATATCTGGATCGACTCGGTCTGCATCATTCAAGATAGCAAAGACGACTGGAACGTGGAGTCGAAGCTCATGCACAAGGTGTACCGCAACTCCTTTTGTAACCTCGCGGCGGCCGTGTCGCCAGACCACACCGGTGGTCTTTTTCGACAGCGACGGCCAGCAGCTGCTCCGTCAGAAGACGAGATGGGTGGCCTGTTTCAAAGGCGACGACCAGCGCCTGCTGTAACCCCTACACGCTATATCCCGATAGGCGCGTCTCCGAGGTTTGGCGGTAGAAGCTGGAGGATCCTTCCTTCGGACCTCTGGGACCAGGACCTGCTGGGATGCCATCTCTACACTCGCGGATGGGTCTTTCAGGGTATTTCTCCCTTCCCAAGCATAAAACTTATCTGACAACTAGGGAATAAGAGCGAATGGTCTCACCCCGTCTCATTCAGTTCGGCCACCAACAAATTTTCTGGGACTGTGCCACCAAGTCCGCCTGCGAGTTCTTGCCCGACAGGCTCCCCGCCTCCCTCGACACCAGGGCAGGTGTGGACCGGTACTGGCGCCAACGCCTCCAGGATGCCGCTATCACGGTCCGCCCGCTGGTGGACACCTCCGAGGGGTCTCTCGAGAAATTCTGGGAGAGCGTGGTCCGCACCTACACCGCCTGCAACCTCACAAAGTCGAGCGATAGAAACCCCGCGATATGGGGCGTCGCAAAGCTTGTCAGAGACGCGCTGGGCGAGGAGTACGCGTACGGCCTGTGGTCGACGCGAATCGAGGAGCAGCTCGCGTGGCGGGTGACGGATCCGGGGATGTCATCTTACCCGGACGTGTCGAATGAGGCCCCGTCCTGGTCGTGGACTCGTCTCCAGGGGACGATCCAGATCCCTCCAAGAGTCCACGATCCGCCGCGATTTTACAAAGTGATGAACCACCAGGGGGGTAATCTCGAGTTCCAGTTTGAGAAGGCTGTCTGGGGTCGGATCGAGGGCGAGTATAAGAGGATCTGGCGGGAGGAGACCAAGAACATGGACGCTAAACTTAAGCTTGCCGTTTCCAGAGCGAAGCGTTCCCATGGCCATGGCCCTAAGACTGAGAGCCCGGTGAGGGGTGACAAGCCGAACATGGACGAGGCCTCGGCCCTCCGGTCCAAGGCAATCGCTCTTCGGGGACACATTTGCAGGGGCAACGTTCGAGCTGTCCTGAAGAGTGGGCAGTGGGAGTTCACCATTGGCGAACCTGGTGCAAAGCAAGTGGTTTTCGCAGCGCATCCTGACGTCGCGCCCTCACAGAACGAGACTCCCTGCTGTTTCCTTCTTCTGGCGGCTTCGAGGCACTTTATCGATAGGTTGGGTGATAAACTGCGAAACAAAGACTATCTCGAGGACGAAGATATCGTGGATGAACAGCATTTTGGAGTCGGTATATTGGTAGAGCGAAACGGCAACAATCTGTCAAGAGTTGGTGCTGTTTCGTTCCGGGATATTTGCAACGAGGATTGGAATCATTTCCGACGGGCCTGCGGGCAAGACGACGAGGCGTTGAGGGACGATCTCGACGCCAGGACCGGGGAGGATTTCTTGCTGATATGATTCGTGCGGCTTCCTATTTGCTCTCATCGTTTATGGTCGAGGACGGGATATACGAGGTAACACCTCAAATCCAGACACAGGTGGTGTTCTTCTTCCACGCTACCTCTAGAAATGTCGCTCGAGAGAGGGCCGCCAAGGGCATGTTCGTTCGCCAGCAGTGCGACCTGTTGGGTTCACCCCGTCACACGCGTAAGTATCGCAGCAAACGCGGCATCTGGCGTACAAATGCGGTTGTGCGTAGCTCTACCGACCAAACGAGGGTGTTGCAATTGGTGTTATCGAGGCAGAGTAGCAAATGTGTTGTTGGTGTATGGAGGAGAACTAGTCAGGAGGGCGCAGAGTCCTGGAGGTTAGAAGACGACTGGGCGGCCCAGGCGCACAGATCACTACGGCAGCTGCCTACAGGTGCCTCAACAGTCGAAATAGGTGCAACTGACTCCCCATGTAAGTGTTGAAATTGATCGAGGCTTATTGCCAAGACGGGGAACAAATAAATACGAGCTTTGTGATAAATGACTATTGATATCAATTGGAGAAAATAGGCACAAGAGAGAGAGAGATCGACAGCCAAGCACCGTGACTTCATCGTTGCAAAATGACTCGACCAGGACGGCTTCTGGAGGCTTCCTGACGTAGGGCCGACACACAAGCCCATCACAGTTGACAACACAACTTTCATAAGGTCCTGAGTTTCTGTAACATGGACAAAAAGCATCAATTTTGCGTGATCTCATGGTGAAATATAAACCCCCAAATACACTCCCATCGGACCCCATCTTCACCGGCGACCGATCAGACGGCGGGACGCGATCCTCATACTTATGGATCCACGACCAAACTTCAGGGGTGATGAACTTTGCTCTTGACGATGACAACCAAAGAAATCTACTAAACCCCATGGCAGCCAAACCATTCATGCTCCCGTTCCTGTTGGTGATGAAGGCATGTGGCTACCGGTGTCAGCCGCAAGATCACGACTGGAAAGACAAGAGTGACTGAGGTCAACGAATCCTTGGGACTATCCGCCGCTACATTACGACGGGTGTCAAGATCCTAATTTCAGCATCTGGGAGTATACAGCTGGACATTCATGAGCGGCTCAGCACATGAAAGTGACACAGCGATAAAAGAGAAGCATGTTCTCACCGTCTAGTCACGAAGAAAGAAGCTGATTGCGGTGTTGCTCGTAAGTCTTTTGCTCATCTCATTTGTTCACGACCTCATACCGTACAATCATATGAGATCCCATCTACAATATCGTTTTTCATATTTCCACTTACAGCTGGAAGCGCGCCAACCCGCAGAGTCATGCGAATCAAGAGTCAAGCGATGTTGAGGAGGTTTCGAGCCCACCCAGTAGGGGTTTTCACAGTAGGGGGAAAAGCGCAAGATTCAAGCAATAAGATTTCCAATCTGAGCTGATACGAGCTCGGCGGACACAGGCGCCGTTCTCCAATTCCTTTAGATATTGCTTATCAAGCCGCGTGCTTAGTGTGAAGAGTTCACCAAGCCCATAATGGTCACTACCCACCAAGCTTGTCCTTGACAGTATCAGGAGAGGATCGTTTCATGGCACGGATTTGGAGTTCGTCTAAGCAGTGGCATTTCGAAAGCGAGTGACCTTCTACTGTAGGATAAGATAGATCCAGGCATTCAGATGAACGAGGGGGGAGATTGTGAGATATGGCCCGGAAGGATAGTTATCTTGGGCTCGTGACTGGAAGGTATCAACTCAACATGAGCTCTTGAAGAGAAATCTTCGAATCCTTTTGTTCAGAAATCGACGTAGCGTCGCAATACCAACGAAGCTGAGCGCTTCAGTCGGCCATTCTGCTAATCTTCACACCTGATCTACTAGTCTCTATGCAGAGAAATTGAATAGAGTCAATATCTGAGATGCACAATCATCATCTCGAGTCTCCCTTTCCATCGCGAACGCATCTCAAATCTCAATCTATACGTGAGTATTCGACCATTTCACTCTACAGTCTACTTTCTACTCATTGAGAGCTAGCCCTCTCATCAAAAACGACGCACATATCCATAGTGAAGCTCACCACGGTCTTATTCATTCTCTCTGCTGCCGTCAATACAGATGCTGTCATGAGGTGTACCTGCGTTGGCGTCCATGGCGGCTCAAACCCCAGACAAGTTCAAGGTATGAGCTGCACGGTATACGGCAAGCAGTTGAACACTTTTCACTGCCTCGATCTCGACATTGTTGCTTACCAGCGGCTGTAACAAGGCACCCGGTGGAGCTTCGAATTTGGGAGGAAGTACGACGCTGCTCACCGGCAGTTTATAAGCGTTTCGTGTAAGTTTATACTTTGCATATGGGATGGGCTCTCACCAAAACGGTGCGGCCAGAACATACCGGATCGAAAGTGAGCAGGAACGCGAAAACGGTCTAACTCTGCAAGGGTTTCTAGTACTGAAAAGGCTCACTTTGATAAGAGCATGTACTTGGAGACGTCAAACGTCCTGATTCAGGTGAGGCTCAGTTCAATAAGCCATACATAAACTTCAGACCCAACAAGTTCACTCATGCATGAGCCCCCATACATAAATCCAGATGCGCTGCTTCTCCACAATGAATTGCAAAAGTTCAACATGAGTTTGAGTATGCTGATGCTATCGAATATACACGGTACTTCATGTCTCTTTCTCACACATGATTACCCACAGCGGCGTGTAAATGTGAGTCGGCGTCTTAGCGAGCAACCTTTCTGTCTCCGTCAATTTACCCAGAATCTGATCAGAGTTATGTCGTGCGTGGACATTTGTGGGCGGACTGAAAACGGAATCTCAGACATGCTCGGAGAAGTTCCACAGTTCGATAATGCAAGCACGAGCGACTAGCGTTCTCAACAGGATTACAACGAGGAGAAAGACAAACACGTCCATGTTGATTTGTGTATACTTTATAAAGATCTGTTTGGACTATTGGCACAAGTCGATACAGATGCAATTGGTTCTACGAACTGTGCTCCGTCAAGTGCTCTTCCTAAATGAGAGTACGCATGGTAGGAACAGGCACCGCGTAACTTATCCATCGGTCATAGTCACGTCCTAGTCTGGCTAAACGGTTTTCCGCGAGCAGCTCGGATACTTCGTATCCAGAACGACAACAGTACCGCTTTCGCTCGCTCGGCTTTATGTGACATTGTCGGTTTCGATCAGCGCAAACAACAGCAGATGAAAACATCATCGACACAAATAAGAAGGACTATTCAAACGCAACTTTGTACAGAATGTTCTTAGTTGTGATACTCCCGAAGTCTGTTGCTTAGTAACATCAGAGGTGATGGTATGTGGCGTTCCTCTCTAGTTATGATCGTAGACAAGTGACGATTCAGTATTGAGATGGCAGGATGAGTTGAGAAGACAGACTTTCTCATCGATTAGCCACACTCGCCACACAGTTCATGCCATTACCTGTTTGTTCCATCATTTTGTGCCTCATACTGCTCATCTCGTTCGATCACATCGACATGAGCATCATGATGTTCCTCAGCTCTTCTGCGCTCTTGAAAACCCGCGCCTGTCGTCAAAGCATTGAGATGGGACGGAGGCGCTCAATCATGCACGAACCCCCAACGACAGGAACGAAGTTTGGTCCTCGCATACGGCACATCTCCGTCTTCCGTCCCTCCGCTCGATAACACGCCCGATTTGACGCCGGCGTCGGGGCGTTACTCAGCCGAGCACGTGGCTGTGTAGTCAGTCATGCGTGGATGGATCTGTTCTCGCGCAATCAATGACAACCAGAAGAAAACACAAATAACCTACACAAAGTGCTTGGACTTTACCAACTGACAGGCAGTTGACACTTTCCACGCCACATCTCATCCCTCTGGGCACCGACCCCCATGTTCGCCGGTTGAAGCCTCACTCAGCCTCCTCGGACAACAACAGCGGCCCCCCACGGAATACCGCATCAGGAAAGCCAGCCTCTTCTTCGTGTCAAACCGTCAACAACAAAAGCCCGCCCTCGCAAAAGCGACCCGAAATATCCTCGTGAAAGATGGTCCCCGAGGGACACAAACGCCGATCATTCTCGCCGTCACGTTATTCCAAACACCAGAAACCACTAGACCAACCTCGGCTTCGAAACCCTCCCCAGCGTGCCTCACCGACGGGCACTAGCCGGTAGCCCAAGGAAACAAGGAGGGAAAGTAATCGAACGCCATCTGACTAGAATTAGCTGATCTCCCTCGCCCTCCTACCCAAGGTCTAAGACGCCAGCCATCCACACCAACAAAATCGTCGTTGGCAGGAAACTAGACAAGCCACACCTCCGTGCCATCCCACCCAACCAACCGTAGGGCGAAGAAGGGGTGCATAAGGGTTTAGTTGAAATAGATCCGAGTAGTAGTCAGTAGCAGTAGATTCACACGGCCGCCGACAGCCCAAATAGCACACCATTTGTCCACCGCTTTGTCCCTTTTCCCTTATCTTCCAACCATCGTTTTAAAAAAATTCCCGTCACCGCCGGCCGCTCAGATCTTTCCCCCGCGATCAAGAAACCGCGGGCGCTTTTTGGGGCGGGAGAGGGGTGCCGGGGGACCATCTCTACCCCACCACGGGCATTCTCCCCCGCCATCCAAGACATTGACGAACCTCACTGGGTGGGATACGGGCCAGAATGGATGAACGGGATTGCGTGTAAGCTAGCGGGAGACATGCGGAAGTCATCTCCGACTGAATATCGCAGAGATGCAGGCACGGAGAAGCTGAAACGTATACCCTCGCCAAGCGCCGTCGTTTGGGTAAGGTTGGGGGAATTTGGTGTTGTAAGGCGACTAGGTATGTGAGTGAGTGAGCGAGTTGCGCAAACGTGATCGACATCGAAAAAAAAGAGGAACCTGCGGGGTGCATCCGCACCACGCGGTCCTGGCTTTCACATGTCAGAAAAAAAGCTGGTCTCTCCCCCGAGGGACCTCCAAGACTTGGGCGTGTTCAACCCTTGCAGGCCTGCGTTTGTGTCAGTCCACAGGGAGCAAAAAGTTGAGATGGCAGATCCAACTCAACAGAATTGGAAGGGAGCATCATGATCATTCGAACCCGTGCAATATGCGACATGAAACTTATATGGCATAATGTTGTTCAATAGTATTTTATTGAACGAATAAAAAAAAAAGTGAAGAACTAAGAAGGGTATCCAAGAGCAGCCGCCCTTATAAGTTAGTAATAAATTTGGTGTAAGATTTTCTCCCGGACACAAGTCGTCGTGTCGTCGCCTCCCGCCAGCGGCCTGCATTTGAACCAATATCCCCCCTCTTGGAAACCAGCCTCATGAGCAGGATAATCATCAGCTGGCCTGACCAACCTGGATAACGTCCACATAGCGCCGTTCCCGTTTCTGATTCCCTCTAATCCCATGATGCCTTGCTTGCAACGAGATGAACGCCTGCTCCAAACAAATTGGCTTGTATCGTGAACCAACATATACATATATACTCGCACTTGCTTGTGGTATGACGACCTTGGCCCTAGTCATCTTCCCTAAAGTGCGTTAAGCTGAGCCTTCAGCTCCTCATTACCCTTGACCATATCTTCCAGCCACTCGGCCGCCATTGTAAGCATGGTGCTCTTGCTGAAGCCGCCACCTTTTAGGCCAGGTACAAGATCGCAAAGATCGTCAAAGCCTTCCTTGATCAGAGTCCGTCGCTTCTGCTCGCTTCGGATATGGTTTTCGCGTTTCTGAGCCTCCGTCAGGTTCTCACGGGGCGGTTTGGCGCCCGTCCCTGACTTGCGTCTGCGGCTCGCTGTTCCATTCTCTGCTGGTGGTGTGGCAGAAGGCTCCGTCTTCGTCTTTCGCTTCCGGGCTGCCTTTGTCGAAGGGCCGCTCTCCTCATCCTCCTCGTCGATGTCTTCCTTGGTGTTCCTGCTTTTCCTCCTCTTGCGTGGGGGAGCGTCGACATCCTCCTCCTTCTTCAAGACCTCGGAAGATTTCCGGCTGTGTCCCTTCCCTAAAGCATGTTCGCCATTCGGGCTTGGGGGCCGTGTGTTGTTTGTGCTTTCACTCCGTTCCAGACATTCCATGTATCTCAGCTGGCCCTTTGACAGGGCGTCGTATGATTCTTTGGGGTCGGGAACGAAGGCATCGGAGCGGCCAAACCGGGCGTCTGTACCCCACTGGATATCGATCGGAGCCTGGCTCGTTCGTTGGGTATTCACTCTTTCGCCGGGCGCCGGGCCGAAGAACATGTCTGCGAAGGTGCCGTCGTGGTTTTCGGTCAGGTCGGTCTGAGCAACGCTACCTCGCTCTGCTCGTTTGAAATCCTCCATGGGCTGGTGCCTTAGGTGGCCCACCGGAGGGCCCAGGGAATGCGTCACGTCTCGGTTGTTGTTGCTGAACATTGCGCTGGAACTTGTGTTGTTGGATCTTGATGAAGATCCATTCTGTAATAATGTGGCCGCTGCCAGAACATCGGCCGAATGGTGCTGGTCGAGAGACTGGTGCTGCTGCTGAGGAGGTGGTGGCGGTGGGGGCATCAAGTTTGAGCCCATAGACATCATGTCAGGGAAATCGGTGTGTGGTATAATATGGCCTGGGGAGGCCAAAGGTGGTGCTGGGGACTGGCCAAAAGACGTAGCCGTCCCCATGAAGGCGGGTGGTAGTTCTAGCCAAGCATCGCTGAAGTTGAGGCCTTCTCCGTACGAAGGGATGTTATACTGGTCCGCTCCAAGGTCTTCGAAGAAGGAACTCAATAACTTCGAGTCATCTGCGGTCAGGATAGGTGCGCCTGGAGCGGGTTCGGGAGGAGGATCGAGGTTGAAGTCTTGGAAGGAAGCGTCAACGGCATCTGGAGGAAGACGATGTTAGCATTTACCACAACCGGTAGCACTTGGTGAGAATGGAAGACGTGGGTTCATACAGCCGAAGGGCAAATTGGGGTCTGACGGCTGCGTCGAACCCATCCTGGGACGTTGTATGGCGAGCATGGATGCGTCTTGTGGCAACGGGACGGGAGTCGTCGAGACTGGGTGGTTTCGCCGGGGAGAGACGAACGGTACAGAGGCTCGGTTTGTGTAAGAATGAAGACGGACGGCTCGGCGGTGGATATGCGCATTCCTCTGGGGCTGTCGATATACTATAGGCACATGGCAGGAGGAACGTGTTTCGATCGGAAAGTGCAGTGCGTCCAATCTGTATACGAAAAGGCCTGCCTAGCTGAGATAGGGCGTGCGGAAGACGTTAAGATGTCGGGCAGTCTTTCGTCTGTCTTGTGATTTGGCGGAGTGGCGGCTGGTTGTTGTGGCAGCAGCAGTAAGAAGTAGTTGGAGCAGTTTGGCGGGAGACTGGAAGAGGCTGGTGGGTATGTTTGCCGTCTTTAGGAGCGCGCCGTGGCAGAGCAGGAAGAGGCCAGAGTCGTGCTGGTCAGGTTACGTAGAGGCGGCGGTGGGGTGGTGGCTGCGCTTAGGCGCCGCACCGAGTTTCTGGATTTCTAGTGCTTTGCCAGGAAAGGCGTGTTTGCCTCTTCTCGCTCGTCTGAAGAGCGGGGGAGTGAGGGGTGGGCAGAATGGACGGTGGTGTTGAGAGGACGGGCGTGCGAGACGAAGGCAGCCGTGCCAGGTAAGGAAGTTGAGGTGAGGTTAGGTGAGGTGAGGCGAGGCGCGAGGCGAGGTAAGGACCTGGGAGGCAGAGCAGAGCAAGAGCAGCGCAGAGCAAAGCAGACCAGACCTGACCTAGAAAGCAGCACACAGCTGGCTCGGCTTGGCTTGGCAGAGGAGGTGCGGAAGGTGTAGCAGTGCTACGTCTGGATTGAGCTCATGGACGAAGATGTCCAAGGTCTACCCCGAATGGCGGACGTTAATGCGGCCCATGCAGGGCTAAGAATAAGAAGACCCTTGAGACGTGTTGAACAGCTGGCGAAGAAGGTCGACAGCGCAGTCTGGTCTGGCCTGAGCCTGAGCCTGAGCCTGAGCCTGAGCCTGAGCCTGAGCCTGAGCCTGAGTGTGACGGGGCCAAGAGGTGGACGGGGGTACGTGTGTGTTTGTCGAAGATCGGATGCGGGCCCGAGTTCACTTGGGGCAATGCAGCATTCTCTGACGAACATAGACGCGCTGATGTTGGTGCGGGTGCGGAATCTGATTCTGACCTGACGCTGGGTGGTGCTGATGGTCAAGCCGAGCGGCGTCTGTCTTTTCACCCGTTCGTTCGCGCCCTGTACTGTACGAGTGAAGTGTACTTGACTTGTTGCTTGCATGCCCGGGTCAGGAGCTAAGGTAGTTGCAGCAAGCAATTGAGGGTGTCTTCCCGTTCCTGTTGTCAAATGGGCCCGAGATAATTAACGGGCAGATAAGATCAGGGTTAAGGGAAACGATGGTCACGGGCCCAGGACGGAGGGCTCGAAAGACCCCGTGGTTTTAGCTGCGGAAAAATGACGAGCATGAAATCAAGACGCTGCTGCTGAGTCGAAAAAGAATGAGTGTCTGGGGCACCAAGCAATCCAAACGGCTTCCCCCTGTTGATTGTTGACCGGGGGGGTTGTTGAGACCTGAGAGGAGGGGGTGTGGAAGCCCGGCACGGTCACGGTCACCTGCAGCGAGCTGCACGCCTCCGCAGTTAGTGCCAGCTGCAGCTGCTGGAATTAGGCAGGCAGGTGGTGGCCAGCAGAGGGCCCTGAGTCGGCGGTCCTTCTTCGTTGTCGGTTTTTTGTGCCTCTTTTTTTTTTTTTTCCTTCTTATTCCCTGCCCCCAACGATTGGCCTGTGGAGACCGTCGGATCGTGCGGACATGAGACAACCGGGGGAATCATCCAAACGGTGCTGATTCAGCGGCTGATGGCAGCGGCCAGGAGGCACGTATGATTGGGCACTCGCAGACAATGCGTCGTGCATCTACCCATGCTACCCATCTAGGCAGCTCGACCGGCGCGCCTCCGAGGCGTAGCGGGCTTATTCACATACAGCGGCATCACATGCCAACTCGGAGCTTTCTCGACCCTCAAGTGTCTCAATGTCTCCTCTCCTCTCCTCCTCCTTCCTCCCGCTGTCTTCTGTCAACTCTCCCTCCCTCGCCCCAGGAAATACCCTCCACCTTGCCGTTCTAGGCTTGGCGCGACAAGTACTTTGTACCGGTGCTCCGCATCATCGAACCTCCAAGCTTTCCCCAGCCCTTGGGGTAGCTTTCTTAGTTCCATCCGCACCCGACACCTTCCTTTCCCTTGACGCCGTTTGGCCACGACAAGTTTGCGAATTTGCTGCCCATTTTGCCCATCTTTCGGCCAAACTCGTTGCTTCCATCTGTCGCTTGGAACTAGATCTGTTACACCGCTCTCGTCTCGCCTCGCTCCGCGCTACGGACCAGTTGCAAGTTGCGCTTGTCGCCGTCCAATTGAATGACACTGTCGCTCCAACGTTGTTGTTGCAGTCCCAGCTCTGTCTCTGCTTCTGCCTCCGACTCCGACTCCGTCTCCGTTCTGCCTCTGCTCTGCATCTGTTTCGATCCTTTCGAGTCTCGCGTCCTGCCTGCCTGCCTGCCTCAAGTCGTAGTCCCAGGCATGGAACGTGTAGACTAGCGGCCGACGGATTACACTAAGGCACCTCACAGACACTCTGAACGGTCCAGCCGCCTCCAAAGGGGCCTCAAGCTACTGCCAGAACCATGGTCTAGCAGAACGGCACCAAACAAAGAAACAAAACACCGCCTCGGCCGATACGAAACGGCTGGCCGTCCCAGCCTGCTACTCTTGATTCCACCTTGTCAACTTCCAAACTGTCAATTCCTCCAGGCAAGAGGAACAAGCGCCGACGGCAAGGCAAGACACTGCACTTCAGATTCTGACGGCTAGTCGATCGCACTGATCGAGCCGGGAGTCCCAAGGCAAGCAAGGCCTCCCCTGTCCAGCACAGCTCAGCATCGCTCTCCATCTGCCGAGCCAACGCAAAACACCGTTCCCTTCAGGTCTCCTGTCAACCACACAAACTTCAGACTCGCTGTGAAGTCTTTTCTTCTTTGAGCCCGTCGCACTCGCATGGATTGCTGCGCCTAACCCTCTTCTGGTGCACCTGCGCCAAGTCGTTACCGCGCACTTCCTGGCTGTCAGCGTGAATACCGGCGTGACAGACCACCTGATTGCCCTCTGTGACCTCTCCAGCCAATTGCAGCCCGCTAATTTCAGGCTGTGGCAGACTGCTCAGGTGAAGAAGGTACACTACAGTCAGTGGCAGCCCAGTCATCAAAGTCTCTCGGTCACGCTTGCCACATTCGACCTTCCTCCAACCTGCCTGCCGAAGTATCCAATCGACACATGCTTCTCGGAGAGCAGTTCTTACCCCCTGCCTCCCCGCCTCCCCGTCTTCTCACTTTCTGAGGTCTGCAACCTCCGTCACTCCGTCACATCGTGGGACACACGTTGCCTTCCCCACAATTTCTTATTTCATTCCCGCCTATTCATCTTAGTACGTAAGGTACGCGATACTTTTCGATATTGGGCACTGTTCTTGCCCTGCCCTTGGCACTCGAGGGTTGGCGGCAGACGAACCGCCGTCACGAGACCCCACGAAGCCAATTGGCAAACATCCTTTAGGTCGCGCAACCAGCTCACCTTACCCTGGTAAGACGCGCCCATAAGTTCGCGATCCTGCTGCTCATCGACCTACCTTACTGCGGAGTACATATCCGCCCCCTGCTACCTCCCATTATTGTACTTGCCCAAACACTCCTCCTGCAGGACGCGTCCATGGCCCGAGGCATCTGGCAATCCTCAAGTGAAGGAATCGCCGGGCAGTGCCGAGAGACACTTGCTCTTAATAACCAAAAAGACCTTTCGTGCCTCCCTACACTACCTAGATGCCTCCAACCGGCATGATTCATACCTACTATGCGAAGCGGGTTGTCCGCTTGCCGCGCCTCTTCCCCATACCATACCTGACCTAACCTACCCGACCAACCATCCATCCTTACCTTATGCCTTACCACAGCTCGACCGTTTCTGCACCGCCCTGCCATCACTCACTGCTGGTCCTTCCTCTGCCTGGGGTAGCACCCCTTGTCTCCAGCCACATATCCTATTCACACACAATACATCCCACCAAAGTCTCATTCGGCCGGTTGCTTCTCACTCCATTGTACGGTTACATCATCGCGTATCCAATGCACAGACGCATCCTCCGTTTTGATACAGATCGCTGATTCTATGATTAGGAACAGTGCCAGTCCATCTGCCGGCACTGACGCCGAAGCCTCATGGCTGCCGTCGCATCTCGTCCCTCCGCAATGCTACCTCGGAGTCAGATGCCAATCCGCCGGAATGGCCTGCTCGAGCTCCAGGGAATTCCGCCAATCCTACGGCCCCTCCTGCGGGCCTATTTGCTGGGCTATGCCTCCGCCGTCGGCCCCAGGATCTTGACCCTGTTGCTGCAGTACATCACCAAGAGGCGCCCCAAAAACGGGACTGATGACAAGCAATGCGCTGGGTTCGTGGCGCAACTGAGGCGAATAGTCTTCGCCGGCCTCGATCCACAACGTTTTCCTACGTTTTGCGCCGTCATCGTTGGCGGTGGCTCTCTGTTAGAGGTATGTCACTAGACACCAGTGAGACGGACTCGGACGCCGGCTATGTGAGAAGGTGGATCGTCGTGTCTTCAGCTGAGGCTAGACCCCTCAACTGTGTGGCAACAAGACGACATGCGAACTTCAAAAGCCGTCTTTGCCATTAGCCCTGCCGTTGATAAGACGAAGAGTCCAATCTTGGGTCATCTTCAGCCTTTCAATGCCGCTGGTCGTAGGCTAGTCAAAGCACACTGCGTCCCTTGCATTCGTCTCTTTCTATAGGACGTCTGCAACTCATCTCACTGGCTTGGCGTCCTGGCTTCCTTTCGCTGGATCCTTTGGCTTGTGTTGGTTGCTGAGATGTTATGATAGGAACCACTTCGGAGGCTTCTCGAGCAGACTGCGAAAAGCCTCAGTGAGGCTACGCGTGTGAGGTATGTAGATCTGATATGATGGCCCGCTGTCGAGAAGCGCCGAGTCTAGTGTTGTGGGGTTCGTCTGGTGTTGGCAAATTCTAACTCGGGTCCAGGCTTGCAAGATGCAGCGCCACCTTCATTGCCGCCTGGTTTAGTCTGAAGCTCCTGCAGTCGAAGAAGACTGCGGGGTTCACAGAAGTAGTTCCAGTCAAGTCCGATGCTCCACCTGGAGTCCAGGAGAAGGAGATACGCTACGCCGGGCGAACACTCGACCTGACCCTATTCACACTCACCCGAGCTCTCGATGTGCTGGTGGGCGAAGTATGGTCTCGTAGGCGTGCACGTCGCGTAGCTCAGGGCAAATGGACTACGGTAAGACCAAATGCTTCCGACAATAGTTACCATTCATACTTATGCTCGCCAGGTTGAGTCAATCATCGGCAGGTTTACTGACCCATGCTTATTCGTCTCCTCATGTGCTCTGATCATGTGGGCGTGGTTTTACAACCCCTCCAGGCTCCCAATTGCTTACAACAAATGGATCAGCTCGGCGGCAAACGTAGACATGCGGCTGATTGAAGCCCTCCAAAGGCTGCGTGATGGCAAGCTCATCTACGGCAAAGATACTGGACAGGCAGAGTTGCTTCAGGGCATGTGCGCCAAGTACAAGTGGCCGATGGATTGGGGAGACCCAGCGAAATCCGTCCCCATTCCCTGCGAGATGGTCCACATGGGTGTCGGCCCGTCGTGCGAGCTCCATGCGTTGAGCCGTTTCTATCGGTCGTGGAAGTGGTCCATGGCCATGTACCTCCCGCTGAGCATGGCGCTCCTCGTACGGGGGCCCATCAACAAGAAGAGCCTCGTACGGGCTCTGCTCTCCGCGTCGCGGTCGTCGGCATTCTTAGGGACATACATTACCTTGTTTTATTATGGCGTGTGCCTCGCGAGGACCCGACTTGGGCCTCACATCATTGGCAAGGACCGGGACGCGAGACAGACGATCGACGCGGGATTCTGCGTCGGTACGGGATGCTGTATCTGCGGCTGGAGCGTTCTCGTCGAGACGCAAAGCCGTCAGAAGGACATGGCTCTCTTCGTTGCCCCCCGAGCCATGGCTACGCTGCTGCCACGCCGGTATGGCATGGACAAGCAGTGGAGAGAGACGGTTGTGTTCGCTGCTAGCACGGCGATAGTATTTACCTGCATCTTGGAGAACCCAAAGCGTGTAAGAGGTGTTCTTGGTAGTGTACTTGGATTGGTGTTGCGAAACTAGAGTTGGATCTTGGCATCATGAGCACAAGCCGGATAGAGGACTGTAAGATGTTGTAGAACATGGGGCATATGATTGGAAATCTGGTTTTGTTGTACTTTGTTGTAATGTCAGTTGGATAGAGCATTTCGGGTTCAAGAGTGGAGTTTCCAAAGGGTTGTACACACAAGGTTCATAGAGTGGTGGGCGACGGGTTGGGGCCGAATCTTGGCCTCACCCACAATCCAGTCACTGTCCGGGTTCACGAATGAGTCACAGCACACTCTCCACTGCGTGTGTCTTGAGGCAATTGTGGTCGTGAATTTTCAACAAGCAGCAAGCACGGTAGCTCAGGGGTAGAGCGCTGGGCTCATAACCCAGAGGTCCCTGGATCGAAACCAGGTCGTGCTATCACAGATTTCTTTTTGCTCATATTTGAACCTCCATATTTAGACGCGACTAACTTTTTTCTTGTGCCACTGCGATTACTTCTCCTGTAAGTGTGCATCTTACTATCGCCGCCGCCGTCGTCGTCATCGTCGTCGTCTCCACTATCGTCGTTCGTATTACATTATTATTGCTTTTGTTACTCTCATTATTATTCTTTCTACTACTCTTATCTAAGCACTTGTGAGGTCTGGTATCATCGTCTATAAGGGGAGTGATTAAGTACTTGAGAAATATACAGCGTAGACACAGGAAAATCAGGCAGTCTGTTTTGCATTTCTATTTTCCTGAAGATCGTAAATTCCATTTGAACCCCGCCTCGTCTGCCATCTTGGCATTCATTTCCACTTCCGTTTCCTTCGTCGTTTGCGCCTAATCTGGGCATGTAAACTTCCATTCGACGTAACGCGAAACTCTTTTCTTCATTCCAGATGTCTCCGAAGAATCAAACAGTTCCCATTGAGGACAATCAACCCAAGTGATCACCAGTTGGACACATTCATAGTGATAGCTCAACACCGCTGCCGGGCTGCCATCCAACGAAGTTCTGATAGATCGACTCCGTTATCGGTGCGACGACATCGCCAAGGTCATGATTGCGTATGCTGTGGTCGGCGAATCGACGGACTACGGGCGTAGCTCATTGCCGGCGCCGATCCATCTCGGGGCCGGGTTTGAGTTTCTCGGGGATAAGCGTCCTAGGGCGGGGCCGGCCCGGCCCCGCCGCCACGGCCTCCCACCGCAATCAAGTAACGACCCCCGGCAACGAGGCCCACTGGTCATTTACTTTGTCCAATCCTACGCCTTGGCTTCCACCCTCCAATTGAACTGGCAAACTTAGTTCCCATGTCTTTGCATGATTCAAGCTCTGCTCGGCAATCAGAGTTGATTGTGGGCTTCCGTGCTGCGACGTTGACGTTGTAGGACGATAGCGTCGGCAGGCGAGAATCTACCAAAGCATTATTAATTGCAATGATTGGACCTTTCGGAACCGGCAATTACCCTGGCTACTCGACCGTTAGAAATGGAGTATGATACGCAATGTTGGCCCATTTTACGAATGGCAAGCCGACTCTTGGGCAGCAAGCAGCGGACCAAGACTTGCAGCGGCCAGATTCGCAAACTTGAGCACGGTAGAAGCTGGTAATGTCTGTTGCCAAGTCCACATCTGCTCAGCTGCCACGAAAAAATGTCAAAAGCCTCTGGCGCAGATTCTTCTCAAAAAGGGGGATCATTATTGCTTCTGTCATCTGGGTATCAGCAGCCATCATCGCAATGGGCCAATTAGAGCCTCTGCTCGATATTGAAAGGGAAAGCTTGGCGCAGATTTCCACGAGGGATTCCGGAGGCTCCCCCGCCGCAACAGCCCCTTTCAATAACTCGACGTTGCCCTTTGTGTTGTTTCCGGGACCCCCTGTAACAAACAACAGCCAACAGTTGATTGCCAGGCAGTCACACAGTTTCTTTGGCAAACCAGCTTGCGCGCTTGGCAGAATGCCATGCACTTTAGACCAGATCAAAGAAGCAAGTAAGGAGATGACTGCAGAGCCAAGTCCCAAGAAGAAAAGGGAGAAAAATACTCTCAAAATCGCTCATCCTATTCAAACAGACAGGCAGCAGAGGAAGGAATGTTTCCTAGAAGACAGTGATACGACCGAAACGAGGATCCCTGGCGTGGATCACATCGCGCCGTTCCTTCGGGTCGGGGCTGCCTGCGTGGGCAATCCGATTCCGAATGCCGGCCCCGGTCCCCTCCCTGAACCTCTTTCCTTGGCCCTGGAGGAAGGCTGAAAGACAGATATGGAATACTCTTCGTATTGCAGAGTATTGAACGTATAAGAACATGCTGCCCACTGATCACACCCTCTGGAGAAAAACAAAGCGCTAGAGACCAGGGTCCTTTCCTTTACCCACCTTCCTTTCTCTCTCTTCCCTTCCCCAGGCCCTTTACCTCACTCACTCACCTTTGAAATTTCACTTCTCACCTTCACCTGGGCTCTGCGATTTTTCGTTTCCCATAAATAGAAACTTCACAAAACACCAAAACCTCCATACCTCGAGCAGTGCTAAACCGCCGAAAATGAAGTTCACCATCTCCATCATTGCGGCCTCGCTCACTGCCGTGGTCGCCGGCAACCCTGTCCAGGCGCGCGTTGACACCATCACCACCCGCGCCGCCAATGGCACCAACTGCACCACCGCCCTCCCGGTCAACTACGGCGCCCTCATCTTCAACGGCCTGGACATGATCGACATCTGGGGCCCCCTCGACGTCCTCCAGCTCAACGCCCACGCCTACAACATGAACGTCCACCTCATCGCGCCCACCATGGACCCCATCATCGCCGGCGTCGTCAACGCCAGCGACCCGACCCTCAACAAGTTCGGCTCCAACTTCTGGCCCGTCATCCAGCCCACCGCCACCTTCGCCGACGACCTCGACCTCGACGTCCTCATCGTCCCCGGCGGCCCCGGCGTCCGTGCCGCTGGTCTCGAGCCCATCGTCGAGTACATCAAGGAGATGTACCCCAAGGTCAAGTACCTCATCACCATCTGCACCGGCGCCAGCCTCGCCGCGCGTGCTGGCGTCCTCGACGGCAAGCGTGCCACTACCAACAAGCGCGCCTGGGCCCAGATGACTGCCTTCGGCCCCAAGGTGAACTGGGTTGCCCCGGCTCGCTACGTCATTGACGGCAACATCTGGTCTTCATCTGGTGTAAGTTCATCTCCAACTCAGTCTGAATGAAGTAGGAGCTCCTTACTGATGTGAAATGTAGGTCACCTCCAGCTTGGATCTTACCTACGCCTTCGTCGCCGAGGTCTACGGCCAGAACCAGAGCACCCTCATCGCCAACACCATGGAGCACACCCCCCTCGCCGCCGACGACGATGTCTTCACCGACATCTGGAGCGTTCCTCACACCAACAACTAAGCAAGAACGAAGAATCTTGGTTTCGGGATTTTTTGATCCTTTGGGTTTCCATTTCTTCTTGAGAGTTGGTTGCATAGAAGATGCATAGCAAGCGAGGATTTTGTTTCGAGAGAGAACACTGCACCGAGGTGCAGGTATGAAGCAGAGATTTGGCCCGAGAGCCATTAGAATTCAGGTCTATCTGATGAATACAGGCCAAAGTTTCCCATACACCTTCGCTGTTCGTTACACGTGATATGCTGGTACTTTACTGTGAAGTTCCCCCAGTTCAAGCAGACTTGGACGCCTTCTCGGCTGCGAGCATCTGGTGGATGCTCTCCTTGAGCGTGACCTCGAGAGGGGTAGGCTTGATCCCCAGAACTTTCTCCGCCTTGCTAGTGTCAATGTTGTACGTCTCCTCGATCTTGCCATATCCGGGACGACCCTCCGGAATCCTGTGCTTCAACTCCGGGACTGCCTCGCGAAGGACATCCGCCGCAGTCTGCCAGTCAAAGTGTGTGCCGATGATGAACCTCTCACCAGCAGCCTCGGGCCTCTCAATGGCGTTGAGCAGAGCCTGGGCAACATCCTTGACGTCGGTCGATGCGGCAAAGTCCGTCGGGAAGACCGACTCGGCGCCAACCAGCTTCCACAAGAGACCGACCGACGTCGCTAGCCGGTTGAGGTCGAGCTTGCCTAGGTAGGGACCAAACACCCAAGGAGGGCAGATGTTGGCCAGCGTAAAGGCGACATCCTTGTTCGCGCCCATCCACTTCCACATCGCGCTCTCAGCGAGTCCCTTCGAAGCACAGTACGCCGCCACGCCGCTGTCTGTCTTGGCCGCCTCCTCGTACGTCATGGGGTTCCAGTCCTTCTCGGTGTAGACATATCCCGCGCGGTAGCCCTGTGACAGGTCGATGACGGACGCGAACGATGAGACGTTGGCGATGCTCTTTACTTGGGCGCCATACTGCTTCGCAGCCTCGAGGATGGCGACGGAGCCGTTGATGGCGGGTTGGAGGAGGTCGGCCTCGTTGTCCTTGGGGTCGACGATGAAAGGGGACGCTGTGTGGACGATGCCAGTAACGCCGGCGAGGGCGTCCTTGTAGGACTCGTGCTTGGTGATATCCGGGACGATGGCGAAGGTGAGGCGGTCTGATGAAGCGGCTTCGGGGAAGGTTGAGCGGAGGTTGGCAAAGGAGGATTCGGATCGGGCCGTGGCGCGAACCTTGTAGCCGCGCTCGAGGGCGAGACCGACCACGTGGGTGCCAATGTAACCGTTGGCGCCGGTCACCAGGAGTGTTTGTGTGGATGCCATTGCGATGTAGGTATTTGCGTTTGGTTGTGTGAGTTAACTTCGTTTGTTGGATCTGTATTCTTGGATGTCACATCATGTCTTCTGCCCGACTTTGAGCTTCGTTATATACTCTTCAAGAAATACCTTGCGAGTCATAAGCACCGTCTCACTTCATGATGATTCGCAGTATAGAGCCTTGATGGCGACCCCGTAGGCCCCGACGTCGTATTCCACTCCGGCACTTGCAATGCAGCGGATGGCATTCAAGATGACACCATTCGGAGGGATTGTTAATACACATTGTGGGTAAGTAGACGACCTTGCGGCTCTGAAGTCGCTGTTTACGGTAACTGTTTTGACCACTTGGTCATCCTGAATCGCAATACTCCATTCAATTTCCCCGAGACGGATGAAATCTCGCCCGTGTAAACAGCAGCTCCTTTGGGAATGAGTAAGCGATGGCTTGGTAAGACGAATTGTCTAGTCGACAACTGTATGTAAGGTCGTGATGTCCGATCTCTAGTCCGGCCTTAAGTCTTCGAGTGAGAGTCGAGTGTCGTGGACAACGGGCTTTTCGCCGAAGTTCTCAAGGTGAAGTTGCGGCGATAAGCTGGTCGTGGGGGTCCGTGGGGGTCCTAGCGGCAGCTGCACTGGAGGTGGTCAGCAATTGCTTCTGGTGTTGCATAACTGTACAACTTGTGCACATTAGTATTCCCGACTTGGGCCGACGTCATCGGCCTATTTTACGTCAAGTTTACCACACCAAAGCCGAACACCACCGGTGGGGGGTTTCTCGGTGTATGTCGGGTCCACCTAAGGTGAACGCCGCTCACCGAGACGGAAACCTTGAAATACTTGAGCTCAAGATCTCATCTAGATTACTTTTCCAAGCGCAAGGAGCCCAGATATCATGGTCACACGGTTAAAGATACACGCCTCACGCATATCTCTGACCAATGAGCATAGTCGAATCGAGCTCCGCCAGGCTACTCGTCCTCAAGCAGGATCATGATAGATCCCGAGTTCCATTCGTGATGCCGCTGTCACTCAGGCACGAGGCCTCCCGCGGTAACCGCAAGAAGGAGAGCCCACTGATTATGCAAGCCGGAAGGTGGATTGCGATTTGCAGGATCAAGCTGCCAGCGCTGACGACGTTCCCGACTTACACGCCCGCAACGTCCCGGTTGTCCAGCCGCGGCTGCCAAGTGACCCACTGGATTGCACACGAACCCCAGGTCGTTGAAGAGTCTCTGAGGCTAATCGCTGCTAGATGAGACGAGGTTCCAGATCTCCAGGCACGCGCTCCTGTACCCCGGCTCGGCAAACGGTAGCTTAATGTATGGCATCGGGGCAGCGGTCGGGAGGAACCGGAACCGGAGCGGAAATCTGGGGTAGGTCGGGTCGAACCTCGACGAGGGCGCATCATTCCGGGGCGGCTGGCGGCAAACGGGGCCAGCTCGATGCTTGGACGACTACGTTCCCGTAGCCGTGCTCCATGTAAGTCGGACGCACCCTGGTAAAGGTGGACTTGGAAGACAACGACGTCCCTATCGAGGCCATGGGAGCACGGCCAGATGAGCAGTGGCATATCGCAAGTTTCAACGCTGACCGCACAGCCTGCGCCCTTGACATGTCAAGTTTGTAAGCCAGAGGCAAATGTAAGCAGTGAAGAGTCTGATGATCTGACAAAATCTGCTCGTCTGATTTTGGACAGCTCTAGCAGGCTTATGAGGAAGCTAGCTGAAGAATTTGGCCGAGCGGCTCAACCACCTTGTTTAATGTACACAGAAAGGACCAGGATGCTCCTCAGGGGTACATATCGTACGTGTCGTTGGTGGAGGGAATGTGACGGTAGAGTCATATCATGCCAGGTCAATCGATGTTCAGACCATGCAAAATGATCCAATCTTGGCCGTGGCGCCGCCAGCTGGCGGGCGTCAGAGGGCCGGCGGCAAACACAAAGACCGCGGCATTGACGTTGACGGGTATCCTCGGTAGCGGCCATCGTCAGTCCCGATATATTCGGGAGTTGCAAGACGACATAGGCGAAGCCAGGAGCTCTGGGGGCCGATGAAGCCGTGATGCTCCGGCGCTTCGGGCCAGGCGTTCTGGCTTGTTAGCTCATTGGGTTGGGGGAGTCGTGAGCAGATCTCGGACCCCACCCAAGCCGGAATGGCACCAGCCCTGTTTTGATGGACCAGGTTTGCAATCAAGCGGCAGGCCAAGGCCCGAATGGCAACAGGACTGAACTGATCCGATGTACCTCGCATGTACACCAAGTTGGCGATGGCGTATCAGTACCCAGAAATGGAATTACAGCAGCGGTGGATGTGTATTTTTGTGCACATGGTTCCAACATGTTCCAACACAGACGAGGGAGCGGAAGTCGGATCCAAATCAGGAGCGATCCATATTGGATGACCGAGAACGGAGTGTTAAACGGCCCTTCTCGCCCATTATCTATGATGAGCTAAAATCAGCCGAGTCGAGGAAGTGCCTCATGGACCAGGCAAGGCGTTTCATTAGCTGGGCTCAGTCAAGCTTGGCGGGTTGAGCGACAATATGGAGCAGTGAGTGATTTATGGAGCTGTCGATTTTTTTCTCTCACAGGTCAGGTCGCTGTCGGCGAAGGTCAAATAAAGCCGGCGGCAGGGATGTGTGATGCATGGTGTTTGGTGCTAGGGGCGTCTGGGAGGATTGGCGAGATGGTGAGAGGTGAGCTGTTTGAACCCTGTGGCATGTCGTGTCTTGAATCCAGTTGAGAATGACAATAAAAAGAAGCGACCCTCAAAAACTGGAACGGTGAGAGGATCACAAAAGGCGCCAAAGCTTTGGCGTGGGCCATTGTGCATGGTGGCAGTGGTGTCGGACATTGTTGATGTCGACCAGGGGGGGTAGCTGCGAGCTGATGTAACGAGGGGCAGGCCAGCAACGCCCAGCAGGGGGCCAAGGATAAGGTGCCGGAGCTGACTTTTTTCTCGCTGGAAACCCAGGGAAGCTGCGGCGTGCCCCTCCATTGCCCCTCCTCGCGAGAGGTAGACGACCACCGACCGTCCTGACCCTGACAATGCTGGCCTGCTCGAGTCCGGTGAAGAAGAAGTGACACCACCACCGCGCCCCGCCGGGGAATGAGGCGAGGGAGGATACGATAGATCAGGATTCAGGAGAAACAAACCATTGCTTAGTCGTTCATCATGAGATGTTTGATGGAGGAGACATGGAGCTCGGACAATACGGGATGTAGTTGAGGTGTCAAAATAAGTGGTGAGAAGGCAGAGGCCGCCACAGTCGCCGTCAACACGATCCTACCGCCGCCGCACCTGTGCTGTGTGTTTTGAAGTACCCTCCCTGTCTTTTGGTTATACGGAGGTCGGATGGCAAGATGATGGATGCCGACATTCGATGTAATGATTCCAATGATTGGCATTGGCAAAGTGACACTGGCAAGCTATACCCAGCACCCGGAGGGTATCAGGTATCCGGCTAACGCATCGACACTCAAAAATTGGCAGCAGCGCCTTCCCGCTTGATGCCCCGCCTTGGCTGTAAAAAGACGCACACCTGCTTGGAAGGAGTGGATGAGAAGGCACGACATGGGAAAGTACGAGACACGCGTTACGGGAGGAGCTTGCCTGTTGCCAAAAAGTGTGTGTCACTCACCAGCTCACCCGGCGTCGACCGGGCAATCGCCCATCTCAACCATCCCGTCGCCTGCACCGGCGATACTGGGAGTCACCCCTGCGGAGTGGCCCTACCTGGTACCTCCCTAACTTGCGTCAAGTCCGCACCCGCATTGAGGCTGGTGGTGGTGGTGGTGCTGCTGGCGAGTGTGAGGTGCACTTCCTACCCTCTTTCTTGGCCTGGGCCACCGCACGGCGTGGGCGTGGGCATGGGCGTGGGCATTGGCGTTGCGTTGGAAAGACCACCCCACCATCTTCCCTCAACCAAATTTACAAAAGGATCTCGCGCGCCCTTCCACCTCCATCCATTCCGTCCTTCTCTCCCTTCTTCTGCCATTGAAAATCTCTTCCACACCTCGATCCATCTTTGATCTCGTCAAACCGACGTGATACCCAAACAAGGTGAGCACCAGCTCCGTCCATAGCTCTAAGAGCTGTACACAGCTTCTGCAACCCCACTCTGCCCCTCGATAACCAACCCGCCATCGCCGCAAACTTCGTCATATCACAGTTGTCGTCGCAGAAATCTGACTGACTCTCGTCATCTTCATAGACACTTTTTTATACACACCTAAGCAGACAACATGGCTCCCATCAAGGTCGGCATCAACGGCTTCGGCCGCATTGGACGTATCGTCTTCCGCAATGCCATCGAGCACCCCGAGGTCGAGATCGTTGCCGTCAACGACCCCTTCATTGAGACCAAGTACGCTGTGAGTATCACCCCACCTACCCCTCCAAACTCGGCATGACTTCACATCCATCACCACCACCACCACCGCTGTCATCTACATCTCGCCACCCGCGTTTGGTAAACAAGAAGGCCGTCATGAATGGAGGCCAATTGAAACCATGGGTCGGGACGGCCGGACACATGCTATCACTCATATCAGCCCCATCTGTCGCATTTACTGACTCGCTCTTCACAGGCCTACATGCTCAAGTACGACTCCACCCACGGCATCTTCAACGGCGAGATCAAGCAGGAGGGCAACGACCTTGTCATCAACGGCAAGACCGTCAAGTTCTACACCGAGCGTGACCCCGCTGCCATCCCCTGGAAGGAGACCGGCGCCGACTACGTCGTCGAGTCCACTGGTGTCTTCACCACCACCGACAAGGCCAAGGCCCATCTTCAGGGCGGTGCCAAGAAGGTCATCATCTCTGCTCCCTCCGCCGATGCCCCCATGTACGTGATGGGTGTCAACGAGAAGTCCTACGACGGCAGCGCCGACGTCATCTCTAACGCTTCTTGCACCACCAACTGCTTGGCTCCCCTCGCCAAGGTCATCAACGACAAGTTCGGCATCGTTGAGGGTCTCATGACCACCGTCCACTCCTACACTGCTACCCAGAAGACCGTTGACGGTCCCTCCGCCAAGGACTGGCGTGGTGGCCGCACCGCTGCTCAGAACATCATTCCCAGCAGCACTGGTGCCGCCAAGGCTGTCGGCAAGGTCATTCCTGAGCTCAACGGCAAGCTCACCGGCATGTCCATGCGTGTCCCTACTGCCAACGTCTCCGTCGTTGACCTGACTGCCCGCATTGAGAAGGGTGCCAGCTACGACGAGATCAAGCAGGCCATCAAGGAGGCCGCTGAGGGTCCCCTCAAGGGCGTCCTGGCCTACACCGAGGACGATGTCGTCTCCACCGACATGATCGGCAACCCCAACTCCTCCATCTTCGACGCCAAGGCCGGTATCTCCCTGAACAACAACTTCGTCAAGCTCGTCTCCTGGTACGACAACGAGTGGGGTTACTCCCGCCGTGTCCTCGACCTCCTGGCCCACGTCGCCAAGGTCGATGCCTCCAAGTAAATGTGCTGAGCATTGGAGGATGTTGATGAGAAGTACCAAGACCGAAATGGTCTTTTAATGAAATAAAGAAACGACCAACATAAGCAGTAAAATCGGAAGATGGGCAGTCTTTCAGAAGGGAGGGCAACGATGACGCAGAGTCTCGAGAGGCCGGGAAGGATTATGGTTGTGTCTTTTCCTAACAAAACTCCCAAACTACATGTCCTTATGACGTCTATGAAATAGATTATGCCTACCCATCACACAAAGTTCCTCCATCGCAAAGTGAAGTCTTGGTGCCTTTTTTCCTGCCAACGCGGGTGGGTTGTAGCGGCCGCCGGACGCGTACGGTATCAGTCTTATCGGTCAGATCATGCCTGACGGTCGGTAGTACGCGGTGTTCCGCAGATAAGTGAGGGGTTGCGGGGTCACTCTGGCGGCCGTTCTACCGCTGCCAGACACAGATCGAGATCGTCACTGCCGTACTGCTATCACATCATTATGTTCACCATCTTCCCCTTTTGTAACATTTTCTTTTGGAATTCTTTTGCATTGGTTCCGAGAGATCTAGACTAGAGTATCTTCGCGAGTTGTCATCGTCTTCTTTTTTTTTGCAAAGTGTGAAATACCAAGCTGAATCAGAGAATTCCTCTGCGTCATTCCTCAGGTCCTCGACGCGGGACACACATACACACATCCCTGATACCGGACCCCCTCCACCCATTGACCGAGATGAAAAAGGAAAAGAAAACCGACTAAACAAACGACACACAGGAGGGGATATCTTTTATGTACAAAAAGCCATACACACAGCCCTGGTTTTCCCGTAGAACGCCAAGCTTGAGAGTGACACACCAAAGAAGGAGAAAAAAAAAGAGAAGAGCCAAGAGGGAGGCGGTGTTGGTGGCAGTGATACCGATACCGATGAGAGTTTTTGAGTGACAAAAATGAAAAAAAGAATTGTGAACCGTGCCAGGCTACTGGTGAGCTGTCCTGGGGGTGTGATAGAGAGGTCATGTCATACAAGACTGCACAAACACACGCGCGTGGGAAAAGAAAGCGATTTCTTCCTTCACACTCCCAACGATTTCCCACCTGTGACTTGAAAACGCCGTTGCCGAGCCTGACCGTAACGCTGACCATACAGAGATGATGAGGGAAACGGGAAAGGAAAGGAGTTCATAATACATGTTCATTAGGAGGGCCCTAATGCCCTTCTTCTTACTTTGTTCTGGGGTGCTTGGCTTCAACGTGAGCCGTCCGCGAGCGAAAGGGAGGAGTCGGCGACCGTCCGGGTCTTGGACGCATCAGCATCTCCGCCGGCATGCTATGATGTTCCGTTGGCCGCTGAGACTGTGACCTCGGCGCGCCACGAAACGTGCTCCTGATGAGCCCAGCGTCGCATGATCCTCAACGCCGAAGAGACGGCTTCCTCCACTGTAGTCCACGGACCCATGTTTGCACGCATCGCGCTGTCCTCGACCCGCTCAGCAAAGTCCTGAGCCGACTTCCATGCATTCGAGCGACCTCGTTCGTGACCAATGATGGCTACCGCGTGTGGACTTGGGTCGATGGACCAGTAACACCTGAGAAGCTCCTCATGGATCACGCCCTGGATCTGCCAGAACAAAGCCTCTAATGGTCCGCTCCTGCGCAGCTCCGGTCTCATGACGTTGAGCACCGGTAAGATGCTGCCCCATTGCTTCGGATCTTGGGCCTTGCTCTCTATTGAGCGCGCGTCCACCACCGCCCTGAAGCCAATCATGAAGGCCAGAGCCGTCTCGAGACCCAAGATGACGCCCAGCTTGCTGTCTGAGTCTGAGCTATGCCCACTTCGGTCATTTTTCCGCTCCAGCAACATATCGCGATCATGCTTCAACTTCGTTCCGAGCTTGCTAAACCGTGCATATCGTTCGCGCAGCGCTTGTATCTTCAGGGGGTTATACGGTTCCCTGAAATCCCTCGTTTGCGGTCGGTCTCGGTCTGCTGAAGGCGGAGCTGCGGGAGTATGGCCGCTGCCGTCGCCAGGAGTGTTTACCGAGTTGCTCGAGGCTACCCTTGACATTGACGTCGCGGCCTTCGAGGGAGTTGAGGGGGTAACAAGCTTGGAGCTAGAGACCTCAGACGTCCTTGGCCGTTTGACGGCAATCGAGTCGCCAACATTCTCCGTGCTTCCGATGGGTCTTTTCCTTGCCTGGGGCGGTGCTGGGGGCTCTATGCTCACAGATCGCTCTTTCTTAATCGTGTCCTTCTTGGGCGGAAGAGCCAGCAGTCTCTGAACCGTCTTGGAGATCTTCCTTGGATACTTTAGAGTCACCATCAACCTGTTGCGTGGTTTCTCCTTGATCTTGTCCTTAACGTCTTTCCGATCTTCCTCCTCGTCCTTAACAATCACAGGCGGTCTCTTGTTGCTGGTAGGCGACTCTGGTGGATGTAGTTTCTGGCTTGGTGTTGATCCCTTAGTCGGTGTCTTCTTCATCCGAGCCAGTTCCTCCTCGAGCGCGGGCGGTAATGTGGGAGACAGAAGCGCCGGCAGTCTGACGGGGGACTTTTGTCTTTTAGGTGGAGGCGGCGGCGGTGGCTCTGCCCTGGAAGGCTTTGGTGGTCTGTTTGGCTCGCCATTGTCATCGCGTCTCCTTTTATCTTTGGGGTGAGAGTCCGAATCGTTCGGCAGGTGTAGGGGTGAAAGTAGCGGCGGCATTGCACTCCTTGATGACGGATCTGTCTTGCTCTTGCCGCTTAGAGAGGGGCTCGGCCTGTTGCCATTGATGGAATCGCCCCTGGCGCGTGATACTGGCGACTTGTTGGCACCTGAGCCCAATGCCGCCTTCAGAGCGGACCTCCCATTTGGCAAAGACGACGAGGCCGCGCCCGATTTGCTGTCCTTCTGCGGTGTCCTATCCAGGGAGGTATGCAACTCTTTTCTTTTCGGGGTATCATCTCGGGGCGTTCGCGATCGATCGTCAAGCGGGGTGCTGGCTTCGGGCCGCGCTCGTTTTTGAGGTCGCAGATCGCCGTCGGCATCGTGGACTCGTTTCCGCTTCTCTGGGGTATCATTGCTCTCCTGCGTTGGCCTAGACCTTGCCTCGGTTCTACTTGATCTAGTTGGTGTCGTTAGCGCCATGTCAAATAGTATAAGTAGACTTCTATCGCAATCGCACCTGTCGTCATTAGGAACATCGCGCGACTTATGCGCCTTTGATTCCTTTGATGCTTCTGAATCTCGTACCCTGTGGGCATCGGTCTTCTTTGGTTCGCGGTCGATTCGACTGTCCGTTGCCTCTCTCCTAGAGGCGTCTGTCTTGGGGGTTCCCGAGTCGGTGGGTGACGCGGATGCCTTCTTCTGTTTATTCTTGTAATCACTCAGCGACAGCTTGGTGACTGTCTTTTTTTCCATCTTCACGTTCGACTCCTTGGCGGCGATTGGATTCGGAGGTTCCTCGCGCATGTCATAGTATGGACGGGTGAGTAACATGCCGCGATCAGCGTCGGACAGCAGGGTCATGTACTGCAGGCGTTGGTACTTGAACTCCTCGAAGACCTTGCTTTGATCCGGCGGGACGCGATAGCGTTGGTCAGGAGTGATAGAGAGGTGGTGCGGTCGGTCGGGCAGAATGCGCTGGGCCAGCAGTTGGACCTTCTTCGCCGCTGCTTCCATTGTTTGGGGGCGTTTGCATGCCGGGGGGGCATGAAGAAAAAGGGATCGCGATATGCGCGGCCACAAGCGCAAGATTAGGCAGAGGAAAAGAGCGATGCGATGGCGGAATGCGAGATGTGATGGTCGGAGGGCGATGTTCAGGTTGAGGCCGAAAAACAAAGGGTCGCGATGGCAGCAGCCAATGCGAAGTAGATGGACGACGAAGGAGAATGAATGGGCGCCGGAGCAGAGCACTCAAGCCCTCTCCGTAGCCCACGAGGGAGAATCTTCAAGTCGGCGGCAATCAGCGCCGACGATGATGGCGGTTGTGATGGTGTGGCCGGGGTGGGCGCTGAGAAGGAAATGTCGTGATAGCGTGACGTGGGTGTTGGCGGTACCGGCGTTATCTGGGAGGAATCGAGGGCGGGATGCTTCAGAATCGACAAGACGCGACCAGATGGGGTAGTATCAAATGGAAATCATCTAGCGAGGGGAAGTTGAGTGTGGCGATGGAAGAGTCGCGTCGTCGTGGATTAGGCGTCGCGGGGGCTCGTGGAGGAAGTCGGGGGGTCGGTTCTCGTATCGACTTCGCCGTGGTTGCGGTTGTGATTCAGGACGTGGTTCGTCTTCTTTTGGTGGAGATGGTTGTCGTGGCAGTGGTAGTGGTGTATGCAGGCCCCAAACATCAGCCCTTGCAGCAGCGGCAGCAGCTCAGATGACCCGCAGCGCATTTCCCAGCGTGGCCTGCTGCTGCAATGATGCGATGCGAGGCGAAGCGAAGCTCAGCGACGCGGACCTTGAGGAGTGCAAGACAAGATAGGTCTGGTCAATGGACGCGAGATGAGTCGGTGCGAGGTGTGCAAGAGTGTGTCCAAGCAGTTGCGCCGGATCCAGACGGGGTAGAGGACGGGACGACGTGCCGCAGGTCGATGATACGGGGGACAAGGGTCAAGGTAGGTGGTATTGAAGGGTCAAAGTCGGGTCGGGGAATGGTGGACGGGAGAGGAGACGGACGGTGCGGTCCAGTGCCAGAGCGAGTATCCGTTCCAGCAGCCCAGTAGGAGCAAGCACCAGTGCCAATGGGAGTGAGAAGGGGGGAGAGAGCCAGACCCAGTCCGATGTGCAAAGTGCGAGCCTGGTCACCGGTAGCAGTCCGTTGGCGCGTCGGTGAGGGCCGGTAAGTTAGGTGCCTAGGTAGATAGGCAAGGTAGACACACCCAGGCCAGGCCAGGTCAGGTCAGGTCAGGTTAGGCAAAGTTTAGGTGTGCGATAAGGTGAGGTGAGAGGTAAGGATGGGAGGAGATGGGGGGAGAGCAAGGCGAGACACGCGCTACCTGGCGGATACCGCACCACCAAAAGCCCAACGTTCCAATTGGCACGTTGAGGGAAGGCACGCAGATGATGCGTGAGGGAGCACGGGAGTTGCTACACAGTGGAGTGGACACCGCCTTACTGGAATGAGCTTCACAGCACGAGGCTCCTTACCTTACCTACCTACCTTACCTCACCTTACCTACCACCTTGGCCTTGGCTTAATGGAGCCCAGGCGTGAGGTGCTGGTGTGGGCCACACAACCAGTGGGTGGTGGCCGCCGGGGAATTTTACGTGAGCCCAAGCGCGTGCTCCTCATCTGCTCGCCGTCTGTAGCTCCGTCTGTAGCTCCAATTACACGATACCTCAGCGAGTTTCGTTGTTGATTCGCCCAGCTGCTGAGGTGCGCCTGAGAGGTGCAAATATAGGTAGGCCTTCGCCAGGGCACGCACCAATCCTGAGCTTTGGGATTGTTTGATGCGAGACCTCAAGGTTCCTCTTCCGAGGAAACACACCTCAGGGACGGGAGTCGCTGGTGCTGGAAAATGCCCGATGTGGTGGCTCTTACCTTAGCAGGCGGCGGCAGTGGCTCCCTGGGCAGATGGCCGATGTTCTGGTCTGGGGCTGCCCAGTTCTTAGGCACCTCCACTACCTAGGTAGCACTGGGTAGGTACCTAGGCAGGGAGGTAAGGTAGCTTCAGGTAATCGCGGCGCGCCCCGGCCTAAGCTCTCAACGATGGGAGATGGGTACTGACCTAATTACAGCTCTTACGTTCGAGGTGGCCGCACCTGTCAGATACATGCCAGTCCGCAGCAGCTGGTGCCCGCTGCAAGGGCGAGTAAAAGGGCAAATTAATAGGCATTTAGATAAAGCATGAGTAACATAAACGCAGGAACTACAACCAAGGTGGACAAATAGGATTCTATTTGAACCAAGATCGTTACACAATTTCAGTTCTACACAAACGGTCTATATCTTTTCGCATTGTATGTGGAACACGTCAGCGAGGCGAGTATTTCCTAAGTAGATTTCACTTCAATTATTTTTAGTGCCATTTAATAGTTATGATGCTTAAGTCAACCTTTTTGTTGTTTTCCTAGGCATGCTACATTACCCTAACCCTGGGAACGGGATGCCTAGTGTAGTCTGCGTTGCGCTGGTGAATGCACTTTTGCTTCCGACCTCTGTGGTATCTCGACCCATTCCAATGCGCCGTCCATGGTATCTCAAAGAAAATATGTGCGCCGTTATCTTCGATAATCAATAGTTGCCGTTGGTAAGGTACGCCAGCTCGTGGCCGTTGGGACTCAACTTCTGCCTCTTCCTTGCAGGCTCTTCGCTTAGTCTCGATGACTTCTCAACCTTGACCAGCCTGTGCTCGTGCTCGCTCATTTGTTTGATGATTGTCTGGACCTTTTGTCCCAACTGAGCCTCACCGGGCTGCTCCTTGTCGAGGTGGCTGATGATAGCTGAATACAGCCCCTCCGTCGTCAAATTGTTCATTTGCGAATCCAGCGAAAGATATTGCTGGTCAACAACCTCCATCCTTTTCTCCATCTTCAATTGAACATTCCCCAGGCCCTGCTCAAATCCATCCATTCGCTTATCGGCTTTGGCTCTCTGCTCTTCGAGGTCCTGGATCCTTTCCATGTGTATCTTTTCGGTCTCTATTATGGAGTCAATCGTACCACGGACAGCTTTGAGGCTCTTCTCGTTCATGTCCACTTGATCCGACAGCTTTTTGATCACAGGGTCGGCTGTCTGCCGAGGGGAGGGCACCGCCGCCTCTGCCTTTTCCGACCCTTGTCTTGTTATTGTCGAATCTCTCGAGCAACCGTCGATCGAGGCGTTGCCAGTTTCCAACACGATGAGACGTTTTCGTATTTCGTCAATCCATCCCCCGACCATTGTGAGGAAATTCTTGTTGATTGTCTCGTGCGTTGCTTTCTTGACAAATGTGTCGCCAACCGTTGAACCAAGCGTATTAACTTGTTTTTGCAACGCGTCCATCGACGACTTGATCTCATTTACGCTGGCAGTAAATTGCTGCGCATCCGGCAGAGTCTGTTTAGGTACAGTAGGCTGCTGCGCCTCTGCTCTTTGCTGGCTTAACTGCTGTTGCATTGCGTCAACTTGCTTGGCGAGCTCCTTGGGCGCTGATTCCAGTGTGGCGGTACGGGATAGGTGCACGATTGAATCCACTTTGAGTTGCGCTATGTCTGCTTGTAGTCGCTCCCAAGAAGACTCCAGGCTTGTGGTACGAGTGGCATGCTGTGCTGATGACGATTTCAGGTTTTGCAGCTGCTCATCGTGCTGTTTTGCGTCTGACTCAAGCTTCTCTAGGCGAGACCGAAGACTCTTTAGATCGGCTGTGAGCTTATCTTGCTCGCTGTCTTTGAGCATCTGTGCGGCTTGCTGTTGCTTCTTAAGATTATCGCATTCCTTCTCTAGTCGCGGTAGCCTCGTCACGAATCCCGAACAGGCTTCGTTAATGATGTCGGGGTCTAATTGTCCCAAATGATTATCGTGTCGACCCAGGACATCCCTCAATTTCACAATGTCGGCGACACACTGTTGAATGTCTGACGCTTGTTTATCCTCAGCTGCAGCGTCAAGTGTTGGCGCAGGTGTGGTTTTAAGCTGGGCTTGACTTAAGCGCTTGATAGAGTCGACCTGTTCCGTAAGTGCGGATGAGGTAGAGATGTGCTTTTTCTCAACCTCTTCTTCCAACTTTGAAAGTTTGGCCTTGAGAGACTTATTCTCGATGTCCAGAGCCTTACGCTGGGCAGTCTCAAATGCGAGTCCCTTTTTAAGCTCTTTGACGTCTTCTTGGTGCTGTTTCTCTAAGTTGTCAAGCCGATCCACGAGACTGCTTGTGCTGGTGGCTGTGACGGCGCGTTTGTCCTTCTCTTGCTGAAGATCAGAATAGACCTGAAGGATAAGCGAGGCAAGCTGTTCGGACGATTCCACAGATCTCGCGTGCGCAGCCTGCTCCTCTTTTCGCAAAGCAGCAAGGTCCTCCTGGTCTTTCTTCTCAGACCTGCGATGGGTCTCTCTCAAAGACGGGAACTCGGCATACTTGTGCTGCGACGCCCTGCGCGTATTTTCCCTTTCTTTCACTCGGGTCTCGACCACCTCCCTTCTCAATTGTAAAGTAGCGTGCTCCTTGTTTCGATGGGATATGCTTTGCAGCGCTTGCGTAATCTTTGCGTGATGAGAAGATCCTGCGGCTAGCTTAGGGCTCGACGGTCTGGAAGACACAGGCGTTGTTGAAGCAGTCGGCAGTCCCCGAGGTGCTGGTATCATCGTTAGCTGTGATTTGTTGTTGACGCTACCAGTCAACTTACATGGCGGCCGACCATGAAATCCTACTGAACCGCTGTTCTGTAACGGGGAGGAGAAGCTTCTTGGAGGGGGACGCGGGGCAGCTTCTCGCGAGCCTAAGACCTGCCTATCGCGGTGATGATCTAGCTTGGATCTATCGACGTCTCGACGTTCGCGAGAACGTGATCTGGAACGAGACCGAGAACGAGATCGAGATCGATCATAGCTTCTGTTGCGGTCACGGTCGCGATCTCTGTCCCGATCTCGGTCATAGTCCCGATCCCGACGATCTCTCTCGCCGTCGCGTCGGTCCGAATAGTTATAGGTGTTTCGCTCGCGTCGGTCGCGGTAATCGCTGTCGGAACGCCTAAGTGTCGACATATTGCCGACGACGAACGGTGGTCGGAGAAGGAGAGGGAATGGCGACGGTGGGTTTGCTCAACATGCTCCGCAAATTTAAAGGTGAAGGCACAAGAAACAGCGAATGCTTCGGGTGTGATTGTCAGATGATAGTTGATGATGCAAAGAGAAAGATCCAACGCCAGCACTTACGAATTGTTCGAAAGGCAGTTTGCAGTGCCGGAAGGAACGAATAGGCTGTGAAAGAAGGAGCTGCTGAGGGGCTTTCTTTTTTTCCTTCTTTATGTTGCGACCCTTCTTGTAAATTGGACGTCGGCGGTGGCGCGCTATGCAATTAATGCCCCACGCTACGTAGGGAATCGCGTTTTAATTACCTGCGCCTACCCTGCTCACTCCACAGTCGGCACTGTATGGGAGTGGGTTAGGTGAGGGGAGAGCAAGGCCTCGAGATCTGAGAAAGGGAACGCAATCGTAACGTAAAGTTGGGCGAGAAGAGTCGAAGGCGACTCTCAAAAGTGTATCAATCGTGGGTGTGCAGACCCAGCGATGTGCTGGGGTTGATGAGGTTGTGCTGGGGTAGGTGGTTATGCGAAGCACCTGTGGTAGACATGCAGGTAGTAGAAGGCAAGGTGTCGGGGGGGGGGGGGGGGGGTTGGTTCTAGAGGAGGGGAAAATGAGAAAAGGCCGAGTATTTAAATGATCCATGTGTTTGCGCATGAACTGTTGGCAACGAGGAACTGTTTGCTGCTCACAAACCGCATGGACATGGGCGGCAAACGATTCCACTCACGCAGGGGATCGCTTTGTAAAGATGATTCGCGAATCGCGACCGAGCTCAATTCTTAGACGTGGTTTAGTGGTCAGTGAGGGGCATGCACAGTCGGGCGGGCTTTGGGGGTTCAGTGTCAGGCGTCAAATCGGTTTGGGTGGTGTGGTGGAGGTGGGGTTCGACGCTTAGCATTCTGTATTTTTAGTGCCGTTCCGACAAAGGCACGCAAGACCGCATGCAATTTCGGGCCTCTATCTGTTGCGCAACCTTCTGTCGATCCAGTATCTACTCACCGCTGAATCGATCCGTTTTGCTCAAGAGACATATGCCTTTATCTGTGTGGTTCTGACCCTCGTCAACAATGGGGGAATGCCATGTCCAACCTCCCATTGCACCCCTTGCAAGTTGCATCCAGCTGCATCAAGTGCAACAACCAGCTGCAGGAAGGTCAAGCGCGCCACAAGTTATTTCTTTTTCTTTCAAACGTGTGACTCAAATGCAGTGAAAACCCGCAACTTCCGCCGATTTGCCATGACATCCCAGATGCCGTCAGATAAGTGTAAATCCCACAAATCGCTGTCCGTAAATCATTGGGCATTAGAGACGTCAGTTTAGGTCGAAACGAGTACGAGAACGCTACCATGGCGGGGCAAGTGAGAAAGGCAGGTAAGCAAGTAAGCCGTCACAATGCCCGTGACCTCTTATTCTCCTGCCTCAGCAGAGCATCTGGATGGGTACGCTGGACGAGAAGATGATAGTTGCGTGGTTGAGGAGCGAGGTTCAAGATCTGCGACAATAATGAGATTGGCGTTTTAGTGACGCAAGTCTGCCAGCTCCCTGTTGAAAGGGGAAGAATTTTAGGTTTCAGACGGCATCGGCGAGCCTCTTCGGTACAGAGCAAGTTACCTGGAGTCGTCCAGATAACGGTCGTCGTCGCACAGTGTACGTACCTTTCCTAAGCGCGAGCCGCGCCACGCTCGGGGAATAAGCGCGAGCCATGTCTAAATTTCTCGGACGCGCTGTCCAGCTTTCAGCCTCGAGACGAAGTGTTTTTGCGTCGCATTGCATCGCAACCATCCAATTCACCATCTTCACGACATCGAACCGCTTGGTACACCCTTTCAAACCGACGACGAGGATTCTGCACCGGTAGGATAACACATATTCAAGATGGCCGCGGTAGGTTTGAAGCTCCTTCGGACAATTCTTTCCAACTGACGTAGACCTGCAGCCCGTCATGACCGTCTCCGAGAGCAAGGAGCTCAGAGGGCTCAATCTCATCGCGGCCCACTCGCACATTCGGGGCTTGGGAGTCGACGCCACAACATTGGAGCCCAGAGCTGTGTCTCAGGGCTTGGTTGGACAGGAGAAGGCCAGGAAAGCCGCCGCTGTTATTCTGCAGATGATTAAGGAAGGCAAGATTGCTGGCCGAGCCTGTTTGATCGCTGGTCCTCCAAGGTAAGGCCTACCACGCCACTTCCGAGCTTGGTCAATTGGCTAACAGATGCCATCTAGCACTGGCAAGACTGCCATCGCCATGGGCATGGCCCAATCCCTCGGCCCCGATGTCCCTTTCACCAGTCTCGCCTCATCCGAGATCTTCTCCCTCGAAATGTCCAAGACCGAAGCCCTCACACAAGCATTCCGCAAGTCCATCGGCGTGCGCATCAAGGAAGAGAGCGAGATCATGGAGGGCGAGGTTGTTGAGATCCAGATTGACCGCAGTGTCACCGGCGGTGCTAAGCAGGGAAAGCTGACGATCAAGACGACCGACATGGAGGCCGTGTATGACATGGGCGCGAAGATGATTGATGCGATGACCAAGGAGCGCGTCATGGCCGGTGACATTATTTCTATCGACAAGTCCTCTGGCAAGATCACGAAGCTTGGTCGGTCGTACGCCCGCTCGCGCGACTACGACGCGATGGGCGTCGACACGAAGTTCCTCCAATGCCCTGACGGGGAGCTGCAGAAGCGCAAGGAGGTCGTGCACACCGTCACTCTTCACGAGATTGATGTCATCAACTCTCGTACACAAGGCTTCTTGGCCCTTTTCTCGGGCGACACAGGCGAGATCCGCAGTGAGATTCGTGACCAGATCAACACCAAGGTTGGAGAGTGGAAGGAGGAAGGCAAGGCCGAGATTGTGCCGGGTGTTCTTTTCATCGACGAGGTTCACATGCTGGATATCGAGTGCTTCTCATACATTAACCGCGCTCTGGAGGACACCCTTGCGCCTGTGGTCATCATGGCCAGCAACAGGGGGAACTCTCGCATCAGGGGAACCGACTACCGCAGTCCCCACGGCCTTCCGCTGGACTTCCTTGACCGCGTTGTCATCATTCACACCAATACCTACAGCCCCGACGAGATCAAGCAGATTCTTACTATCCGTGCACAGGAGGAGGAGGTTGAGATCTCTGCCGACGCTCTGGCGCTCCTGACCAAGATTGGCCAGGAGGCTGGTCTGCGCTATGCTAGCAACCTCATCACGACATCTCAGCTGGTGAGCAACAAGCGCAGGTCAAAGCAGGTCGAGATTGCCGACGTCCAGAGGAGCTTCTCGCTTTTCTACGATCCGGCTCGCAGCGTCAAGTTTGTGTCCGAGTCGGAGAAGCGCCTGATAGGCAAGGACGGCGCTGTCGATTTTACCGTCACTAATGGTCATGGTGAGACGATGGATTTGAGCTAAGCGTGGGAAAGGTCTTTGAGTTGGGCGTTCTGGGCAGTAAAATAGGTAACCTCCCAATAGGTGACCTCCCATGGGAATATGTGATAGATTATGTACCATAAATGATTGCCTCGTTGCATCGCAGCGATGCCAGGAATGCAACCCTTTTGATTCCCTAGCTTATTCCGTCGCGTCTTGAAGTGAGGCATGCAATGCAAACATTAGACAAATGAGGCAACTCTGCTCCAGCCATCCTCGCCTACTGATCTGAACTCAACTCCCTCGCCGAAATATCCGGCGTCTTGCCATGCCTTCATTGTAGGGCCGTCGAAAGGACCCTGCTTATCGGCCCCGTCGCGTCCATCCGTCCATCTGAACTCCCACATCTTGGCAGACGTCCCTTCTTTGGCGCTCTCCTCTTTAGCCGGTTCACGCCACTCTTCACCGGTTTCTCGCTGCCACTCTCGGACGAGTATTTCCCTCTCCTCGTCGTATATCTCAGCGTGATCTCGACTTAAGAGTTTATCCGCGGCGTCGGTGATGGCCTCAATGTCCTCTTTCCTCTTCGCCTGCTCGGGGGTCAACTCCTTCTCGTGATCCACATCCATCGCCTCCTCGGCCCCCTTGTTCATCTTCTTCAACTTCCATTTGGGTATCTTCTTCTGCTTCGGCTGCCCCTTGGCCAGCCTCGCCAGCGCCTCCAGCGGCGTCTCGCCCCTCTCTAACCTCAAGATGAGCGCCTTCAGCAAGTCTGTCGTAAGAATGTCGTCGTTTTCCATGCGTAACCTCCGTGCCTCGGCCTCGCGCTTCTCATGCGCCTCAGCTGCCTTCTTCATGTCCTTCTTGCTCAAGCCGTCGAGCCACTTGTCGTGGACTGCATTTGGGTCCACCGCTTTCCTGATGTAATTGCCATCTTCATCAAATCGGCCCTCCTCTTGCTCCTCCTTCATGTTGAATGCTTCAACCTTTGGAGCGTTGCGCTTAAGACCGCCAAGACCGACCTCCTCATCAATACCCTCCTCCTCTATCGCAAGTTCTTTATCCTCCTCCTCGTCGCTGCTCTCTTGCTCGTCTAGGCGAATTTGACCACCGCTTGTACTCTTGAGGTCCTGGCCTTCGATCTGGGTATCCTCAAGGAAGCGCACGGCTTTGTCCTTCTTCCCAGAGCCCTTGATCGCCTCTTGCGCCGCCTTGCCTTGTTGCTCGTCGTCATCATCCGCCGCAAACATGTCGTCGTCCTCGTCATCCTCATTCACGTCGCCAACCTTCGAACCGTCGTTTTTAGCATCGTATTTGTCCAGCTGGTCCAGAAAGTTCACGTCGCCCTTCTTCCCACGGTGCCGCTCCTCCGCGCGACCCTTGAAGTTGCGCTCGTTGTCTGAATCGCTGTCGTAGCCGTCCAGGTTCACTGCGCCGCGTTTCGTGGCGCCGGCACCGGCACCGATGACGTCGGCGTCGAGAATCGCATCTTCTTCTGGCGCGTCGGGGGCCAGGGCTGAGGGGTTGCGCACGTCGAACTTGAGCTTCTTGGAGTCATGGGCTTCGTCGTCGTCGTGGTGATGCGTTCGCGCGAACGTCTCGCCGGCGCGTTTCGGGCGCGCTGCTGAGTGTCTTGACGACATCTTTCTGTTTGGTAGTATGTCTCCTTCGTGGAATGTCGAGAATGTTTTAGAGAAAGGTCATGTCGGCTGGGCGTGTTCTTAGGAAGCTTCGCAGGTGGATGCAGCTTGACGGTACCTGAGCTAAAGACATCAAAGAACGGGTAGGCACCTTCTCGTCCGCTCAGTTTGCATGTGCTTAAATGTACCGTCTGGGGTCTTGAGTTTGGCGACTTTTAGTGGAACCTCTCTGAGCTTCCCTGCGTTCACGCTTCCTGTGTAAGGTACTTGATATTTTAAATTTGAAGTTCTACTTTAATCAAGGACGACTATGATTTACAGTAAAAACGAGCATAGTAATAAGTATCAGCAATAAGTAATATAGCGGCGATAATGACAATTATTAAGGTAATTAGAGAGGAAGATGGCGGACAACGACAGCGGACGACGACAACGGACGACAGCGACGCAGGAAGTCACTTTTTAGTGGGGGTTTCGTCATTCATCAGTTGCCTTCGGCCCCACGTCCACCGACCCTCCATCACTCATCTTCTTCAAAGCCAGAGCTATCTCCTCTGCCTACCAAATCACTTCTGCCAGGGCAAGCTTCCTTTGCCTACTTCACCTCTCGGTCTCTCGGAACTTCCGCTTTCCTCCACCCTATCAACCAGACCTTACATCTTCCGACCGACCGACCGCCAAAGATGGTGAGTTACCCTGGTGTGCTGTTCACCACTCTCAGACCCAAGCTAACCTCGAGCTTCCAGTATCGCTTCGACCCCAGCGAAGCCGACATGTACAACTTCGCCCGCGGCGGGCGCCGCCCTATCGTCCAGCGTTTCGACGAGTACTACCGATGCTACCCCATGGTTATGGCCCCTGGCGCCGAACGCCCCGAACTCAACTATGGTTCCAAGATCTTCCTGCCTCCCTCTGCGCTCGACAAGGTCTCGAAGCTCCACGTACAGTGGCCGCTGCTGATGGAGATTATAAACGGCGAGAAGGGAAAGCACTCCCACTCCGGTGTGTTGGAGTTCGTCGCGGAGGAGGGCAGGGCTTACCTCCCTCAATGGGTTCGTGGAGTCCGCTTCGCACCGGCGGCAGGGTTGCTAACGTGAGACATAGATGATGGAGACCCTCCAGCTCGATGTCGGCGATATGATCCAGGTCAAGACAACCTCTCTCGAGCTCGCACGACTGGTCAAGCTTCAGCCGCAATCTACCAACTTCCTCGACATCAGCGATCCCAAGGCCGTGCTGGAGAAGGCGTTTAGGAACTTCGCCACGCTCACCAAGGGTGACATTTTCAACTTTGAGTATAACGACGAGATCTATCACGTGGCCGTTCTAGAGGTCAAGCCCGAGACGGATAAGATGGGTGTTTGCATGATCGAAACTGATGTCGAGGTTGACTTCGCCCCGCCCGTCGGCTACGTCGAGCCCGAGAAGCAGCAGCGCGGCAGCGGCACGAGCACCCCTCGCAGCGTCCGTGGAGGCGGCCTCCCGGCCGGCGGCCTTCTTCACAGCCAGGGTAGCATGGCTCAGTCCATCAACTACAACGCCATCGCGCCCTCCGCGACGACGACCAATACCAACTTCTACGGTGAGGGTCAGAAGCTCAACAAGAAGGGTAGTAAGGCGTCGACACCGAAGCCCGCCACCCCTGTTGCCGGTGCCTCCGCCAACGCCCCAGCCGTTCCCCCCCTTCCCCGTCGGACGAACGGCCCGATGCCTCTGCGCCTGCCTCCTAACAAGCTCTTCTTTGGCTACGAGATCAGGCCTGTGAAGACTGACGCCGACAAGGAGCGCGAGAAGGAGGATGCCAACCGCCCTCACTTTGCGGGCTCAGGTCAAACTCTCAGGGGCAAGCGCAAGGGTGAGGGTGAGGACAAGCCAAAGGCGCCTGAGAAGAAGGGGCCCAACGAGGGTCAGAGATTGGATGGCCGCAAGCCTTAGAATGGATGCTTTTAAAATGAGTCTTTGGCCTGGATTCTCATAATTTGGGCGGGTCGGCGTTCGGGGATAAGGTCAGGTGTCATTCAGGGCGCATCGTTGTAATTACAAAGGCATCACGAAGGACAGTCAGCTACGGACCAGGGTCCACGAGAAGAATGAATCGGATTTCAAACAGGGTGGCGGTGCGTTGTCATGGTGGTTAGGGCGTCGCCTTATTGCTAGTGATCTGGTTCTCGTTATATCACGGCATAAACCAAATCATGATATGTCAATGCGTGTCTTCGGCTCTATCTAGAAAAAGCAAGCAGAAATAGCAAGCTCAGAGCTATACGCGATTCAGAAAGCGTCCTGTCCTGTTCACAGAAATCCCAAAGCGAAAAGAAGCTTTTGCCACCCATTTGTCAACACCCTGATGCTCTCCCGTTGCCGATCCCGAGCTCGCAACCGCCACCAACCGAGACCAAGAAGAGTGCCAGTCCTTTAGGGAAAGACGGAAACTAACCACGCAGTCCTGAAATGGCCGAGAAAGAAAACGCGGACACCCAGAAGAACCAGAAAAGTGCCAAACCAATGCTAGCAAGCTTGCCAAAACCATTTCACCGCCATGTTGAGAAGTTCGAATGTCGAATGTAGAGTTGTGTAAGTTGCTGCGTAAAGAGCAGCTTACATGCCCTCCATCTCGACCTCCTGGCCCTCAAGGAGGTCCTCAGAGCAGCGGGTCTTGGTGGTGGCGATGTCAGCTTCCATGGTGACCTAGACCTCGCCATCGAGATAGCCCTGGGCGTCGGAGTCGGAGGGGTCAACCTCCTGCTTCTTAACCTTGACGAAGGCATGGGCGACGGAAGGAGCGAGCGTGGAGCTATTGCCTGTTAGATTTACACTTAATCGAACACGGGTCTAGGAGCGCAAGAGGAGGAGGGGTACTTGCCTGCGCTCACGAATGTCATGCTTACGAACGTCATGAAGGACAGCGGACATGATCGTCTTCTTGTCCTCACCGTCCTTGATTTCGGTCTTGACGGGGGCCTGGTCGACGTTCTGGACGAACTGGACCTCGTCATCGTGATTGTTGTCGTTAGTGAGATCGATCTTCTGGCCGTTGAGGCCAGCATCGAGGCCGCCGGCAGGGACCTGGCGCTTGGCAGGGCGCTTCACGTCGAGGTCCTCCTCAGAGTCGTCGCCGCCATCGTCAGCAGCACGGGCAGCGCGAGCCATCTGGGCGGTGACCTGATTGGCGCGAGCGCCGGAAGAAGGGGCAGGGCGAGAACGCTTGCCGCGGGCGGAGGTAGGGGTAGCAGGAGCGACGTTGCCGTTGGCGACGTTTCTTATGCCCTGATTGACACGCTGCTTGGCATTCTTGTTGATGACCTTGGACCAGCGCTGGCTGTTTGGAAGCGTTAGTGAGGGTTTTCAAGGTGGCGGACGAAGAAGGGGGAAAGACGAAGACAACGAAGACAGGGAAGACATGAAGACGAGGAAGAGGGACGAGGAAGAGGGACGAGGACGACGAGAACGAGAGGCAAGGACAAGAGACAAGGACAAGAGACAAAGACAAGAGATAAGGACAAGAGACAGCGAGCAGAGACGACGAGCAGAGACGACGAGGAGAGACGACGAGGAGAGACGGGGAAGAGACACGGGGAGAGGCGAGGAGAGACGAGCAGAGAAGAGGAGGAGAGACGAGGAGAAACGAGGAGAAACGAGGAGAGACGAGGAGAGACGAGCAGAGACGAGGAGTGACGAGTAGGACGAAGACAACGAAACCAGGAATAAGAATAAAACTTACTTAATGGCGTCCTTGCTGAACTTGTAGCCCAGTCCGGTCATGATCTGGTGGGCACGATCCCAATTGATGCCGCCCATGGGGGCGTTGGGGACGTTCTGGAAAGCGGTCGCAAAGATGGCGTCGAGATCGGCCTCAACGGTCCAAGCCTTGGGAGCCATGATGAGTAGTGCTAATGTGGTTTGTGTTGTGTGTTGTGTTGTGTGAAGCAAGGTTGGGCGGTTGTCGCGAGGTTGTTGTTGTGTGGAGGAAGAAGAGAAAGTTTCGAGAGCCGCCGACGAGAACAGAAATAAGTAGCCTCGAGCCGAGTCCGAGTCAACCGAAAAATAGGGAAGGAGGTAAAGGACTAGGCTAGACTGGACTCGCCTTGAGCAGTTTGTGAGAGAGCGGAGACTGATGAGTCGTCAAGCACATATTGTCCCGGTGATGAGTGAGAAAAGGGGGCGCGGTGAGGGATGCAGTGTGGGCAGACACGCGGGGGCTCACGCACATGTACATTGTCTGTCATGTCTGAAAGATGTTAGCAACAAGGCAGTGAAAAGCAGCAAGGTCAAAGGACTTAGTGGGGGAAACGAATCCGTAATCTGGCAGGTAGACCAACGGATGATGTATGAGGGCGAGTGATATGAATGATCGAAACGATCATAATAGGAGTACTGGAAAGGTCCCGCTCAGCCAGACGTATCCGCTCGGATAGCTGAGATGTAAGAAAAGTCGTCATCAGATTAGATAAATATCAGCAGCGAGTGTACTTCATAGAAGGGTAGGAGAAAGCATCCATGTTTCTCATTTCCGATGTGATTGTAGACTCTAAGATGATTTCGAGTCCGTATGCAATTTCGCAGCCAAGTCTTCAGTCCAAGCGAGCAACCAAAGATTCCCTCCAAGTCATCCAGAAGTTTCACTATCCCCAATGGCCAGTATATTCAGTTTCCTGCCTCTCCTTCCCCGAATATCCTTTTCCAGTCGGTCGGTGTGAATCATGCTGTCGGCTTAGATCTCAGCCTTAACGGACTGCCATTCGGCGAGCTCCTCAGCGGCCTCGGCTTCGTTAACCTCCTTGAAGCTGTTTACAAGATGTTGTCAGCACGACAGTTGGGGAGTGGCAGACGTGAATCATGGGAAGTTGCAACTTACTCGGGGCGGGGAGGAGCCTTGGGCTTCTTGGCCGGCTTCTCCTCCTCCTCGTCATCGTCCTCCTCGGCCTTGACCTTCTTGGAAGGAGTCTTGCGCTTGCGAGGGGTAGCGGTCTTCTTGGCCTTGGGGGTGGAGGCGGCAGAGGCGTCGTTGCCCTCACCGTTCTCGGCAGCGACGGTGGCCTCCTTCTTCTGAAGCTTCTGCAGATGCTGCCTATGAACGGAGGTTAGCACAGATCTGATATGCGTCGAGAAGAAGCAGAAGGTTAGTACACGACAGCTCCGGCGGTGTAGTTGTATCCTTTCGCCCGGACATTGGCCAAGACCTCGTCCCACTGGTCCTTGGTTGGCTTCACTACTGGCAGCAAGGCGATGAGGAGATCGGCATGAGCCTTATCATCCCAGATGGTAACAGGTGCCATGATGTGTTGTATTTGGGTTGGTGGATGAGAATGTATGGGGTGAAGTGAAATGTTTTTTGTGAGGTCAGGTAATGTTGTGAAAAGGTGGAAGTGCGATGGTGTTGTGTTTGGAAGAGGAAGAGGAGAAGTGGAGGTGAGGAAGAGGAGAGTATAAATAGAAATCAGCAGAGGGGAGCGATCAGGTGCAGTAGGCAGGCAGGAACCTCGAAAATGGGAAGGAGATCCTCACTTCATGGTGATGGCGGTGAAGCCATATCCGCAAGGCTCGAGTTCCTCCATGATGGCATTGTATTGCTCGGCGGTCGGAATCATTACCTTGACCATGGCAGCAAGAATTTGCTGGTCGATCTCGGGAGTCCACTTCTGATAGTGACGAGACATCGTGGCGATTTGGAATAATCTTGTGATGAAGCAAGATGAAGACGAGCGAGATGATGAGTAAGGGGGATCGACAAGAGAGAAAGTTGAGAGAGGAGAAGTTGCGTCAAGGAGGCTGGGGGAATAAAACTAGGAGACAAATAAAAGCAAAGCAAAGCAAAGAACAAGGCAGGAGCATAAATACCTAATGCCTTCCCAAGTTATGTCGGTGAAGCCCCAGAGGTGGGCTTTGGCGACGACCGCGTCCTTGGACTCCTTTGTGAGACCGTCTGCTGACTTGGCAAGGCCGTGGAAAGCCATCACCAAAGACTCGAGGAGGACTGGGTTGTTCCATTTGCCAGACTTGTCGGCCATTGTGACTTCGTTGTTGAATATGTTGATGTACTTTGGGGTTGATGCGAGAGGTATATGGGAGAGAGAACAGAGGACGAGGCGAGAAAGTTGTGTGGGAAGAAGACAAATGCTCGTAAAATAGAGCAAAGTCGAACCGTGAGATAAGGGAAGAGCTTGGAGCACTAGACCAGAAGCTACCAGGAAAGAGACGACGACAAGCGACGACGAGCGACGACGGCGGCGATAACGACGGCGATAGTAGCGACGAGGACGACAGCAAGGCGGAAAAAACAAACAGAAAAAGTAGTCGGTCCAGCACAGGAAAAATAGGCAGTCTCGTCGAAAAACAAAGAACAAGAATAATGATCAGAAAAGGTACCTACCGAATGCCGTTCCAGGTGACATCCTCGAAGCCCTGCCCGCGGAGACGAACCTCGATGGCGTCCTTCTTCTCCTTGGAGAGGCCGTCTCCCTTCAACTCGTTGTAGAAGGACATCATGAGGCTCGTAACGAACTCCACGTTATTCCAGCGGCCGCCCTTCTCAGACATGTTGTTGGTTTGCGTGGCGATTGCTCGTGGTGGTAGTTGCTGTACGGGGCGCGGAAAGTGAGAGTGAAAGCTAGAAGTGGTGATGTAGATGGTTGATGGAGAATTGAAGGCTGTAGTATGGTAGCTAGGTAGGAAGAAACAGGCCGGTGCCCCTGGGTCAGATGTAGCGGGAAGGGGTGGAATGGGAGGGAAGAAATGAGCCTCCTTCTAGAAGAATGACAGCTTGACGCGGGTCTCAGCGGTTGGCTTTGACAAGTGGTGGTGCTTGGCTGAACCAAACCATTCACCCACCTGCACGAAGACATAGGAAGCCAAGCTGCCACAAAGGTGAAGATCGAGGTCGAGATCGTCCAAGTTTCTCTGCATCACCACAGGCACATATTTCATGTTCTCCGCTGTTGTTTCTGATGCCTTCTCTTCTGACTTCGGCTCCATCTGCCTCTGACCAGCACTCTCGTCCCACTTCTAGGCTCCTCATCAAATCCATCTCAAGATGAGAGTCGTAACTGTTTCAGATTGCAGGTCAATAGCACTCGACAGGAAGTGGTACTCCACACCAGTACCTCAGAGACACCGTTGGCCACTGGTATACAATAAGCTGGACTACATCATAAGAAACTTTGCGTGGGATTTTGCAAGGAACATCAAAACGTTCGGAATTATCAACTAGCATGCCCTGCGGCAGCTCTGTACCTGAATAATCCTCGCCACTAGCAAAACCACAACTCTCGTGGCATCAAGACGCATAAAATCAATAAGTACACCGAAAGCAGCACCCAGTCAACTCCAAAAGCGCCCATCGTGTTCAGTTAACCCTCGCTCCTGATGCCGCGCTCGCTCCCATGCATAACGCCATGACTTTGTTCGACAGATCCGGGAAAGTTCAGCCTAGGAATAGCATCAACTCTTCCCAGAAGGAGTGTTGTCCAGAACGGTGTCGGTTTTCCTCGACAACGATTGCAATTGCAGCCTTCCTATGTTTCGCCGGGGAAGCTGTAGGGGTGTGGGTCTGACCCGGTTAAACCAGCCGTAGGATACTCGGAGGCGTAGGCATCCACAGAAGAATTGTTGCTGTGAGCGGCGAGAGCTAATACTGCTTCATCATCGAGAGTTTGGTCCTGGGGTGGGTCGTCAAGCTTAATGCGCTTGGCATCGTGTTCCTCGGTCTCTTCATTGTCGTCGTCATCCTTGAGAGACATGTCCAGGCTGTCGTCTTTGAGGGGCAGATCTATCGACTCAGGCAGAGATTGGAGGCCATCAGAGAGCGCAGTAGGAGGTGGCAGCGGTTGGTCGGCCTGCGTAACTTGATCCGGTTGAGGTTGGCCAGGCTGAGGCACTTGGCCAGGCTGAACAACCTGGCCCGGCAGTGGGGGGATGGGCATCGGTGCAGGTGGTTGAGGTTGCTTCTTGGGTCTGCCACGACCCGGTCCGGGACGCCGAGTGATGGGGTTCATCGTTGGATCAACTTTCCTTGGGTTGTCCGAGCTTCCTCCGTTGGACTCGGCCTTGTGTTGAGCGCGGCGGAGTCCTTGGAAATGTTGGCTGAGACCCGTCAGTGGTGGTCAACGTAGGCAGCAAGCACCTTGATTGTTGTTGAGAAGAGAGAAGGACAAAATTAGGGGCATAGCGACCATCGTCGTATGTGATACACCACTGTGCGTTGGGTTGTCAATCACATCCTCATACACTGCATGAGAGAGACCTCGGTAGACAGGGAAGGCACATTTCCGTCGCCTCGAGCACGATAAATCCCTCTGGAGGCAAGCCGACGAGAGATAGCATTGCGCGATAATGGGAGAGAAGTCGAAGGACAAAAGAAAGCCACCAGTCGGTCCGGGGCATGAAAGAATTGAGATGCAAAGGAAACTTTGACTTACCGACACCCTTCATTGGTGAAGCCGTAGCCCAAGGTACGCATGTGGTTGCCGATGGTTGTCCATTCCGAGCCGGAGATGACGCCAATGTTCTTCACAGACAAGATGGTGAAGAAGAGGTCCTTGTCGGCCCTATCATTCCAATTCTTATTCATTGCGATTGACGGAAGGCTATGGGCGATATGCGACGATAATATTCGCGACTTATACTGATGAATGGAGACCAAGGTGCTAGTAGTCTTAACAGCTCTACTCGATCAAATGAGAAAATTGGTAGTGAGCGGCGACAGAGCGACGGAGCTGAGATTGAAACTGGGGCAGATGTTGGGGCGCCCGTGCCAGCTACGCCAAAACGGGTGGGTCACGTGGTCTCGGCCTAACAATTGACCGAAGGGAACCTTAGCTGCATCTCGTCTGTTTCGACGCTACAAGGGCTCTAGATGCTAGGTAAAGACGTCGAAGGGTTGGAAAGGGGTCATTCATTCCATTTATGAGCTTCCTTTGGATCTTTAGTCGGGTCTCGAGGTGCGAGAAGCGTCAGGACGCGACGGGCCGGAGACATCGATGATAGAGGGCGAGAGGAGTAGATGATCCGTGCATAGCCGAGGTTTAGCCTTCTAACCCGGACCATCAGAACGGACCAGCGAGAGGGGAATCTGGATGGCCGTGGTAGAGCGTCTAAAATGCCCTTCCAAGCCCGGACCTACTTACATTTAGATAGGTGAGCAGACTTGAGAAACATGCAAAATCATGGAAATTTTGGCGGAGGGCCTCCAGACACATGAATGGGGGTTCATAAGTGCAACAAGACCTGATGTCTGTTTCCTGCCCTTGTGCCTCTCTCTCTTTCTCTCTCTCTCAACGGGCAGCCTATGCGTCGGGCCATGCACAGGTCCACGCCGTTTGAGACAGGAAGACGCCGCCTGGCGCCCCCTTCGAGGCACCACCGTCCAAGACAACTCGATATATGATAGTGAGCTTTCTGTCATGATAATTCTGACAGGTCTCTGGCTGAGACACGCGGAATAATGGCGTGGCTACTTGTGCGTCCTCGCGGTCTCGAGGGAGATCGTCCTCGGGATGCATACACGGCGATCTGTCTTGTCCGCGCTTGAAGCCATACCCGCCGAAGCAGAGCGGTGGAGCGGCGAAGCTACTTGTGCGAAGAGTACCGGCGACGCGCGCCGTTTGCTAGGTGCTACGATGATCATCTTCTTGAGCAACGGAAAGCTTCATCGGAAGCTCGCAATAGCGACTGGAAAGGGGCGCTTGCGCCAGCCAAGGACAGCTCATCCGCGTCCACCACCGCCGCTTTAACTCTGGTGCTGCAGCTCCCGGCGTCTGGGCTCGGCGTGGAGAACTTGGACCTCAAACAGCTTCCAAAGTCGTACTGGCGGTGCTGCAGCCGACCACCACCCTGTCGGCACGCCAGGCAACTCTCAGGCAGCAACGGGAACGTATCGCTCCACATCACGTGGTAGCGTGAAATCTCGCGACATTGGCTTACAGTGTAGTGCCACAGTGCGTCGCCCCAGGTTCACGGAAACGCGTCGCCCGACCACTTCATCCCATGCCCTCCAACTTCATCGCGCCTCGCCAAGGCAACGCGGAAGCCCGAAGAGACCTGTTACGCCATTTAAACGGGTTCAATGTGCATCAATAGATTTTTGTACAATTTCTCGCGGTCTTGAAGTTGCTTTTACTTGCCAAATGGTCAATTCAGTCGTCAATTGTCAAGCTCTACCAATATCTCGATTGACCCCTCTTCCGATGCTTCTTCCCACCGCCAGTACCCGACATCCAACCCGATCAAACACGAGCCCGGAATTGGGAGCAAGTGATTGATCGACGAGCGAATCTAGGGGGCTCTGAGTCGGCCCTCGAGGCTCGAACTTTGTTTGCAAATATTCGCCGCATCTTGCATCGCATCAGTCCGTCAACGCAAGCCTCAACAATCTAGCCAGTCGGTTCCTAGCACAACACCCAGGTGCGACAACCAAACCAAACATGCCGAGAACCAGGCATCGGCAGGCATCATGCGTCGTAACAAGCGTTCGTCGACCACATATGGTGCGGTCCAGCTTTTTCTTGTTTGACGACTCGATGCGGGAGGGCCGCCAATGAATAGTGCCAAATTGAAGCTGCAACATGGACGCAGCCAATGGGCCCAACCCCCTCCATTTCTCAGCTAATGTATCCATCTTACCTTACTCAAAGTATGAGTCACACACCCTTACCACTCGTGTGTCTCATCCCATTTAGATCCCTGTTGCGTTTCCAAGTGGTCCGCGGGCGTTCCTGGATCTTGCATTACGGCCTTTCCTGACCGGCCCAGAGTGACCCCAGCATCGCCAGAGCTGCGCAGCTCAATTGACGAGTCAATTCTGCCTGCGAGTGCAAATGGCCGATAGTACTTGCATGTCAGTGGGTGCGCTAGTCGGATGCCTCGCAATTCCTGGCCCTTCGCTCAAACCTTCATTCGTCGGGGAAAGTCAAGTGTGCTCCATCGTCGGCTGCGTGCAGGGGTGGCTGCGGCAAAAGAGGAATGGCGAGGGAAAACCACTTTACGCGATTACACGGCCCCCGCGACACCACTTTCACCACTTCCACCACCATCCATCCAGCTCCCCTCCCACCCCTCCACCACATCGTCCTCTCATCCACACACTGCGTCGCCCATCAAACCTCACCACCCATGGGTGCCATGCTCTTGCATCTGAGCCTGCACCACACCACCCCCCTCCACAAACGTCACACCCCAGAAAAAAAAAAGATGCTCGCTGTCAAAGCCTGCCGTAACTCCAGGCAACAAGGGACTATTTTGATTTCCTTGTGTCTCAAGGCGGGTTTGCCACTGGCAGCTCAATAAAATGTCGGCCCAAGCGCGCGCGGCGTCCTCCCTGAAAGCATGCTCTCGTCTTTCTTTTTCCTCATACTGTACTGCTAAAATTCCAACTACTCTCTCTACAGCTCCGCTATCCATCGCCGCTGGCTCCATCCATCGTCTTCGGTCCCCAGCGCAGCATCAAGCCGACATGCATATCCATCCATCCCCTTTAGCCCCATAGTCCCAAGGCCACACCCTCCAAAGCACCTATAACTACCGTTGATGCCCCCGGGGTTGTTTGGCTGACAGTTGTCGAATGCCTCCTTGTCTGCCTCTTTTGTCCGCCTCATCTTCCTTGACCACCCACACCAGCGAGTGACTGATCTCGCCCCCAGTGGTTGCACCATTTACAAAACGCAACCTGCTGACTTGGGTGCCATATATCTCTTCGGTATCGCCTCACCGATCTTCACAGTGACTCATTTCCTTCAACCCAACTCCACACTTGCCTGTTGTGTGCTGGTTGACTGAGTCTCCCGAAAGCCTCGGCAATCATTGCTGTGCACTTCAAATTGGCCCTCTTCCTCCAGCTCACTACACCCAAACTCGACCTCACCCTTCTGTGGCATGATCAGATAAGGGCGGCAAGCCACCAGTACTTCTTCCAACATGTCCTCCAACACAGACAACCAGATGACAAGGTTTCTCTTCGCCATCTTGAAACAGAAGAACTTGAAGGATGTAAGTGCTACTACACCCATATCATGTCATCATCAGCCTGTGGCTCATCACCCATCCAGATTGACTGGAATGCCGTCGCCCATGATCCGATTCTGGCACAGCCCATCACCAACGGCCATGCTGCTCGCATGAGATACTCCCGCTTCCGTTCCGCGATGCTAGGCCTCGAGCCTCAGAAGCGTAACCGCGCCGCCGTGAACAAGAACCGAGTTACTAAGTCGAAGAAGGAGCCGAAGCCGAAAAAGGAAGAGGACGGCGACAACGACCGAGTGAAGCCAGAACCCGGGACAGCAGAGTCAGAAGCCCGCGCGAGGTCGCCCGTTAAGGTCAAGCAGGAGCACAACCAACCTCCCTACAGACAACAGTTCACACCAGCATCCATGGCATCACCTACTGCCCCTGAGTGTCAACCAACTTTCCAACCTCGACTTCTCACACCCTGCAGCGACGACATGTTTTCAGCACCTCAAAATCTGCAGTTCAGCCCCTCTGCTAACATTATGGGAGCCCACCCTACGTTCGACATTCCGTCGATTATGCCTTGCACCCACGAGCAAGACCAACATCACCACGAGCACGAGCACAACTCTTGGGGGTCAAGTCCCATTTACTCGGCGTTTGACGCCGCATACGATCTTGAAGGTTTCGGCATGGGCGCCATGTGTGATCATCAGCATGGCCAGGGGCATACCACCGATCTCCACGGGTCACCAACGTTGGCAAACCTGATGCCTGAGCACATGAACATCAAGAACGAGCACTGGGATGCTCAGTTCCACTCCTAATAGACTGTAATAAGGCACGGGCGGGTGGGATATCTATACATGTCGGCTTCAGGTTGGAAAAGGTTGGAAAAGACTGCCGTCATTTGCTTTCTTCTGTTATCTCGTGCTGGTCACTCCGCTCCCCCCTTTGGATTGCCAGTTGTACTAATGATGTTACGCAACCCTGGAAGGCGTCTGGTTTGATTAGAATGTATGCCCCAGAGTAGGGCGCTTTAGAACTTTTCAACAAACACGACGATTCATATGTTCATATGCTTTGTTTTTCTTCCCCTCCGAGTCGTGGACTGTGCAGCTTGCGTGACAGCTCATAAGGTGAGGCCTGCTGCTTCAGACATTGACTTACACGCTCCACTGCCCTCGTTCTTCACAGTCTCGCTGCCAGACTCAACTGCTCTCTCTTTTCTCCACCATCCCGTCCAAAATTTCCAACTCTTTCCCAATAACATCACAGCAAGCATTATTGCAACAACAACAACAACAACATACATAACACAACACAACTTACCAGGTACCTACGCCATTTGCCCATGCTTCCTCATATTTTCATCCACTGACCGGTCTCCGAAAAAAAGTATCCATCATCATGGCTGAGAAGTCCTCTTCCGCTGCTTCCACTCCCAAGGAGCCCACCCCCGGCGACACTAACTTCATGATCAACCTCTTCCGCCACATGACGGAGAAGCCCACTATCAACTGGGATGCCTTTGCTGCCGCTGCGGGGTTCAAGAACGCCACCGTCGCTCAGGTTAGTTCCTTTGAATTTGTGTTCTTCAGTGGTCATATGCTAATATCGTTACGCAGACCCGCTACGGTCAGATCCGCAAGAAGTACGAGCTCAACTCGATTGTTGGCAGTCCTATCAAGAAGAGGAAGGGAAATTCCACTGCTGAGGAGGAGTCTCCTGCCAAGATTGCCAAGACTGGCGGCCGCGTCGGCACCAAGGGCCGTAAGGGCAAGGGCAAGGCGACGGTCAAGACCGAGGATGAAGACGACGCCGAGGACGGCACGGACACCAAGGGCGCCATTAAGATGGATGGTGACGATGAGAACTAGAGTTGCTTCGTGATCACTTGGCTGTCTACGAGGGATAGAGACCGGAGGAAAGTATGGACTGGGGCTTGCAAAAATAGCGTCATACATCAAGCTGAGAGCCAATATAACCTCTGAGCATCACAAATGTGACAATCCTCTATTTCCGATTTTCAGCATGCTTCAAATCATTGATGAGTTCGCTTTTTCTTTGCTACGTCATCTTTTGTTCAACGGAAACCTCCTGCCTCGAATCGGGGCTGGCATCATTCAACTTTCCGAGAAAATTCAAGCTGCTACCATAAGACATCGTCTTGGCTGCAAGGACACCTGAAGCTGATTCATTCCGTTTCTTCAGCCGTTTCCAGTTCAGACCCAGCTTCTCGAACGTGCCGTACTTCCCTCGCTGATTCTGGCTCTGAACTGGCTCAGGAAACCTCAGGCTTCGGCAGTCAAGATTTGATCCCATCCAGTTGTGTGTATTGCCGTGCTGCTCTCGCCTTGTTCAGTTTCAAGCAAGAAGAGGGCAACTTCCCCAATAGCAGAGAACTTTCCTTCACAAGGCGAGAGCTATCCATGGTGCCCGCCTCGAGAGTAAGCTACCTCAGCAAGCCTGGCTATTTAAAACTTCTGAATCTTCCTCAGCCTTACAAAACTTTCTTCTTTCCTACCCATCTCCAGATCTGGTTTTGAGTTCACAACCAACAGTCCTCTAACTTTTATTACCAACAGCAATACACCATCCACACAAGTAAGCTTTGATGTCAGCTATTTTTATTCATCCTTGGATCAAGACTTATACAGTGTCAGACCAGAACGCAATATGCCTCCCAAGAAGAATGCCGACGCCGAGGGCAGCGCCACCGCTCTCAGCGAGACCGAGACCCGCTTCCTGAAGGCAATGTTCGACCACATGAACTCTCGTCCTGACATCGACTGGGACAAAGTCGCCACTGACTTGGGAATGACGGCTAAGTCGGCCAAGGAGCGCTTCCGCGTCCTGGGCAAGCGCCACAACTGGGGCACCAGCGCGGCTGGTGCGGGCGGCGGCGGCGGCTCCCCTGCCAAGGGTCCCCTGGCCCCCAAGAACAGTGGCAGGGTTGCTAAGAAGGCTACCCCTCAGAAGAAGGGCATCGCCCGTAAGAAGGTATGTCGAATCAGCTGTCACTTCTCACCCCACCGGATGATACTGATCAGAAATGTTTCTAGACCAAGAAGGACATTGAGTCCGATGGAGATGAGGACATCTCCTCCAAGCTCGAGTCCGACTCCGATGGCAAGAGCGCCGCCCAAGATGAGTTCCTGAAGAATGGTAACGGCAGCGATAGCGAGTAGAATGGTACTCTGCGGCTCATCACGATACTTTCTCGTAACACGGAGGGCAATATGCAAGGGATTCCTACTCAGATGGTGGATAACAAAAATTGAGCAGGATCAAATCAGACTTTTGGCAGCTAGCTAGGAAAATGAACAGAGTGATCTGCTCTTGCTTTAAACTTCAGAAATTTCGTGATATTTGTTTCATTTGTGGGTGTTGACATTCTCCCTTGAACAGAATCATCAGCCAGTTCTCTCTCTAGGCTGAACATAGTGTGTTCTGGAAAGAACCAGGCTGTCCAAATGCAGTCTTTCACATGAAAGCCCAGGTATCCTTTGGCAGTAGTTACCATTTGCTTTCCTAGGGTGCTTGACGAAATTAATGCATTTTCTTCCTCATCTTTTGTTCATCCTCTTGCAAAACTGAGTGCAGGGCTAGTAAGGGATGGCAAGCTCTTTCAGTGGGTATGTCTTGTCCTCCCCTTTAACATTTGAAGCTGCAGCGCGCCCATGTTAGGCTTGGATTCTTAAATAATCTGGTCCCTCTGTGCAGTGTTGCTGATATGGTTTGGACTGAATGCTTGTGCTGGTATGCCATGGTCAGACTGGCGACTTACGAGGCTAAACACAGGCAACAGACGCACCTTCTCAGCACTACTGAGAGGGAAGGAAGAGCCTGCCTGACAAGTCAGAGACTGTGATCTATACTACTTTCCTGAACTTGGAGCGAATCGTCTCGCCACTTTTATTTCTGAGCAGGCTTCTCCAACTGGCGGATTTCAAAGCAAACACCTCCAACAGCATCTACACCTGGACCAGTCTAAGAAAACAATCGTAAGTAAATATTTTTTCTAGCCTCAACTCTAATCAATCCGACAATAGCTTCTTGGCAATTTGATTTCTCATTTTCATCCTACTTTGGTTTCAGTGGTTGGAAAATTCTCTAAGGTCTGCGGTCGACATCCCGCCTTTTCTCGCACAGAGTCTCCTGCCCAAAACAGGCTGTTTCTGGTCGCCTGAATTATCCAAACACTGTCCGCCGCCTTCTCTTTCCCCCCTGCCTGGTTGGTCTCACTTGCGTTCTGAGCCCACCCTGCAACTGCCTTGCTCTGCCCTGCTCCCACGTACTTGAAATTTTCTCATACCTCACTCGAATTCCTCCATACCGTCGGATCAAGGTCGCCTTCTACCGCATCTCAACTTCTGCCAAACAGGCGCACGCTCACACTAACGCATTCGGCAGCTCTACTCTACTTCCAGCCGAGGACACAAACACCGAGTCACCCAATCATTCATCATCCATATCCTTCATCATGTCTACTCCTGTCGGCACGGATACTGAGGGCCAGGTGAAGTTCCTCGTGAACTGTATCCGCTTTTCCAACAACGGAAAAGTAAGAGACCTGCAAACCTGAAGGAGCACACAAACTAACCACCACAGGTTGATTTTGAGGCTGTTGCCACTGAGTGCAACATCGCCTCCAAGGGTGCAGCGTAAGTAGCTTTCCAGTATTACCATGCTTTCAGAGACTGACAGCAACCTCCAGTGCCAAGCGATTCTCTCGCCTCCTTCAGCAGCATGGAATGAAGGTTAGCGATCTGGCCAAGCCCGGACCTGCTGGCACCGCGTCTCCTGCCCAGACTCCTACCGGAGGAACCCCGAAGACCCCCGCCAAGAGCGCCGCTAAGGCAACCCCGAAGACCAAGTCTGCGGGAAAGCGCACCGCTGCCACGGCTTCGCCCAGCACCAACACCAAGCGCGCCAAGCTTGCTGCCTCGCACCCCGCTGTCTCTTCTTACAACGACGAAGATGATGAGGAGGACCAGGAGGAGTTCAAGGTCAAGAAGGAGGAGCCCCACTCCGCTTCCGCCGCTACCGGTTCGTACTACGAAAACCCCCGAGGCCGCGATCGCGATGACGACGACTTGCAACTTCTCTACGTGGTAGAGAAGGCGGCTGGATGCCCCGTCCACGACACCGCCGAATGCCGAGGTCCCCAGTCCGTTTCTGTCGCGAGCGATACTAACACCGACTCTTCGATACAGATGCTGCCGCCGGTGACGACCAATTCCAAGTTTAACCTACCTCAGGCACCAATTTGACACCATGTTTGGGGATTCATGATGCTGGATACGTCATTGCGAAAATGGCAAGATACGTGCACACATGGAGATAGGGATGTGGCTCGTTTGGTTAAGACGTGTAAGTCTTCCCCCTCGTCTTCCCGGAAGATGAAGCTAACTGAATTGTCTGCAAAAGCGAAACCTGGTAATTTGACGAAGGTGGCCTTGGTTTGATGTCGAGATTCTAATTACTTGGCAGGAGGATGGGCACCGGACTTAGGCCTGGAGACACTACGAAGGATAGGAAATGTTCAAGCTTGACTTCAGTGCTTTTCCCCCGTTTTTGTGACTTGAGTGTATCCCACTGAACTTACTTATAATATGCGTAGCTGTAAACAGTGCATTATATAGGTATACTGCACTTATTTACGTTTGCCCTTACTAAAACCCCTATAATTTCAAAAGTATTAATTTATATTTAATAATAAAATTACTTCTTCTTTAAGTTTAAGTATATGTAACTTAAAATATGAAATAAATACTTAAATCTAAGTATATTATATAATTAATATAATTAAGCTTTTTAATTAATATTTTTAAGTTAAATATCCTATAGTTTTAACTTTATATTATATATTAATAAAGTAGAAATATAATAGTTTATTTATATAAACTTTATAAAGTTAAAATATATTTAACTTTTTAACCAAATAAAAGTTTAAAAATAAAAAGTTAATATTATAAGTAAAAAAGTATTAATTAATAATTTTAATTATATTAAACTTTATACTTTTTTAAAAAGTATATAATTAATATATTTTAAGATATTTAGTATAAAACGTGGAAAAGTATATTACGTTTTATAATAAATAGAAAATATTAAATTAATATCTTATAGATTAAATATATTTTATTAAAAATAAATATAAATAGTTTAAATATTTAAATTAAATATAAAAATATTTAAAAGTATAATATATATACTTATATATAATATATTATTATAAATAGAGTAATATTATAGAAGAAATAACTTTTTATATTATAAATATTTATTTGTAGAAATAACTATATTTAGCAATATATTTAACTTATATTAATAGATATTATAGTTTATTTAATACTATATATTATAATATTTTAAGTTTAATAATAGGACTTTAACTTATATTTTATTTTAATAAAATAAAGAAACTAAATCTTATATTATATTTAGTTATTAATACTTAACTTAATTTATCTCTAGCTTTAATAGAAAAAAGTAGATAGATAAATAGTAAAATATACTAATAAAACATTTCTTATAATACTATTATTTATAAAAGCGTTATTTAGAATATAACTATTTGATAATAGTTTAACTTTATACTTAAAAGTATAAACTTAATAATATAACTTTTTACTATTATAACTAGAAAAGTTATTAACACTATAAGTATAAAAACTTAACTATTTAAATAAAGCTTTAAATTTTGATTTTATTCTTTATATCTTTATATATATATAATAATAACTATAAAGTTCTTCTCTCTGTTTATATATATATAAATTAAATAAAGCTAAGCTGAATAATTTAATTTATAAAACTAAAGTTAGAACTTTTAAAAACTTTGAGTATATTAAACTGATTTATATTAATAAAATAACTATTTTTAAATTTATTTAGAAATATCTATTTAAAACTATAGTTAATAAAGATATTATATTAAAGTTATACAGCTTTAAGATTAATATAGATATAGTTAAAGCTATTAATAATAATCTTAAAGCTTATAGTTACTTTATAAGCTTCTTTAAGATAGCTAAAGTAGCTTAAAGCTTAAATATTAATTAGTTAGAAAAAAGCAAATATATTAAAAGTATAGCTAATAGTAGTAACATGGTTCATCAGTCAGCAGGCCGGACCAGTCAGCCGGACGTTTTTTTCTAAACACACTCATGTCTAAACCACTTTAACCTTTGACGCATAAAATCTCAACAACTATAATACCAATCTACACCCAAGAAGACAGAGTCATTCTCGCGATTGAAGCGATCCAATCGACACGCGCTGCAGGTATTAAGTTAAGTATTTCGCGTGCTGCAGAGACCTACGGTATCCCAAAGAGCACTTTAGCCGATAGAATAAACAACCGACCGCGACGTGAACAAACTCAACCCCAACGACATAAACTCAATCCGATCGAAGAAAAACACTTCTCCAATACGTTATTAAACAGGATTCTAGAGGATTTCCTTTACGCCTCGCCGGTGTGGAAGATATGGCCAATCTCCTGCTGCGAGCGCGTAATGGCGAGCCTGTTGGCAAGCGATAGGCCAGGTGGTTTGTGGACTCGCAGCCTGCTCTGAAAACCAAGTTTAATCGTCCATACGATTATTAAAGGGCTCTTCAAGAAGACCTTAAGGTTATATCAAAGTCGTTTGCGCTGTTATGTAACATGATAGCTAAGTATGGCATCTAAAAGGGGGACCTATATAATTTCGACAAAACTAGCTTCATGATGGGCATGATCACCGCGTCAATGGTGGTAACACGCGCTGATCGACGCGGCAAAGCAAAGTCTGTCCAGCCTGGCAATCGTGAATGGGCTACAGTCATTGAATGTATTAATTCAGGCGGCTAGTGCATCCCTCTATTCGTGATTATCAAAAGCGCATACCATATCACCTTACTAGTTAGACTACGGAATCAGGTTTTCCTAGCAACTAGGTTATTATACCTACTGCTAATAGATAGACAGATAATTAGATAGGTTTTAACTAAATTAAATACTTTAATAAATATATTAAAAACTAAACAAAAGGTATTTATTAAATACTTATTATTAATAGCTATAAAAGCTATTTATTAGCTAAATTTAATAATTACTATAAATAGAATAATATTATAACTATTAGTATATCTATATACTTATTATATCTACTATAGCTATTAGATATTACTTTTTATTTGC